TCAATTATTTAAAACAGAATTTTCCTAATATTTTTCGAAAAAAATCAATTATTTTTAAAAAAAATAAAATTTTTCTCAGGAATTCAATTATTTAAAAAAATTTTAAAGAAATTCTTTATATAATAATTGAATTGTTTTCAATATAATTTTAATAACATTTTTGAAAGAATTCAATTATTTTCATAAATAATATATACAATTTTCAAAGGAATTCAATTATTTAAAACCCAATTTTCATAAAAATTTTTGAAAAAAATCATTTCTTTAAAAAGATTTTTTTTAAATTCCTTTCGAGAATGCAATTATTTTTAAAACTTCATTAAAGTTCGGTGACAAAAATTCAATTATTTTCATAAATAATAAAACTCATCGCAGGATTTCAATTATTTTTAATATAATTTTTAATTAATTCCGCTAAAAACGCAATTATTCTTAAAAATTTGAATAAAATTCAATTATTTAAAAAATTTTGATATAATATTTGTTTCATAGAGTATATGTAATAATTATTTTCAATTCATTTTTAATTACATTTCTTGAATGAATTTAATTATTATCAAAAATTTTAATGCAATTCTTCGTAAAAATTCAATTATTTTAAAAAATGTTGATAAAGTTCTTTATAAGATTCCAATTTAAGAAATATTCAATTATTCAATAAATTATTTATTTTGGTATTTAAATAATTGAACTTTCTAATAAGATTTGATTTAAAATTGAATAAAATAAAATGATTAAAGTTTTAAATAATTTTATTTATAAATTTCAACAAAAAAATGATTGAATTTATTATAAAAGAATTACTTTTGTAATTTTTAGAGATAGTTAAATTTCAAAAATGCGTTACATTTAAATAATTTGAAATATTTTAATTCCTATAGACAAAATAAATAGGTATTTAAATATTTATTTTAAAAAATTATTCTATTTTTGAATGTAATAATTAAGAAATTATAAAAAAAATTGAGTCGTCAAGTTTAATTTTTCGTTAGCTAAATTTTTACTACCTTTTTTCTGTCTTTAAGCTACTTTTTGCTCCTTTCTTAAAATTAATTATCGAGTACGAAGCCTGAAACGAAAAAAAAAATAAATACTGAATTTCGATTCAGTATATAGTATAGGATTTATTTAATTAATATTATATAAACTTATTTTATTATAGATTTAATTTGTATATTGCATGAATTTATTTTTATTGTAGATTTATTCTATTTGTTTATCATAGATTTATTTAATTCGCATTATAATAATTTATTCTATTTTATATCTATAGTAGACTAATATTTTTCTTTTTTGTTACAGAAAAAATGGTGAATTATCAAAACTGATCGAGAGAGATGATTATTTTCAAGAACAGATGTTATTTCGCTGCTTTCACGCTCTGGTATATTATTATTACGGTGGTCCGGTATTGAGAATGTGCCAAGCCACGTGGAAAGACACTGACATTTACAAGTTTTTCCTGTATGGAAAAAATATGACAAAAATCGATTTTATATACAATACGTCGGACTTAAATCTGTGGACTAATTTTTTCAGGTCAGTATTTTTAAAAATCTTCAAAATTAAATTACATTCCTTCTTTTTCGCTTATTTATTCTTTGATCTCGGTTTTTTTTTCTATTTTTCCATTTCCATCTTCACTCGATCCTTTCAAATTTTTAATTTTGAAATCACATTTTTTTCTCGTCAAATAATTTTTTTTTCTATTTTTTACATTCGCGATGAGAAATTATACAGAAAAATAAAGAAAGTACGTAGTCTACTTTTTTTCTTAATATTTTATTCGTGTTTGCTAAACATCTCTAATTCGAATATAAAAGGTATATAATTATTGAGAAATATTTTTATATTTTGTAAGAAAAAAAACGTCTTTTTTCCAAAAGAGGAAAAATTTTTCTTTAGATGGTGACACTAATGATTCGCTATTTTTTCTTTTCCGTTTTTTTTGACTTGGGGTCAAATACAGAAATGGGAAATTCTATATAAGCAAAATTCTATTGACATATGCTCATTGTTATTTAATGTTTTTTTTCAGTTTTGTTGAAGAGTGCGAAACTTGAGAGGCTTATAATAATTCTTTTTAACGTTGCACAGTTCTCACGACATGAAAATAAATGGAACAGAAAAAGTGTGATACTGAATAGTGTAGGCGTGAGTTAAAAAGTTTCATCCATACCTGCTCATTTCCTTAATGGCTTTTATAAAGTAAATAATTTCTGATATGGAAATCGAGTTGTATGGCAAATGTTGGCGAGGACGCGACAATTTTCATACGGACTGCTCTCATTTCTCTATTTTAGTAATAAATATTATAATATTTATATTAATATTTAATATTAATATTTATTTAGTGAACGATTAAACAAAAACGAATCAACGAAGAATTCAACGAAAAATATAGAAAAAGTACCAAAAATGACTCTTTACTCGATTTTTATCGAAAAGAGTTTTTTTGGATTAATTTTCCAAATTACAAATTCGATGTGAAATTTATTTAACTGAAAAAATAAAAATTGTCAATAAATAGAAATTATTTTAATCTAAAGTATACACAGAAGAAATGTTATTCAATTGGAACTGGATTTGCTGAGAAAAAATCGACAATGCTGATAAGAGAAACTAATTGAACGTTGAATTACGTTTTGCGTGTTCAGGACAATAATATTGTGAGTTACAATGTTCGAAGAGAATTATTTAATTTGTTTAACATTTGCAAATTCAAATCAATTTTTAATAATGTTCGCAAACAAAATAATTTCTTTCAAAAAAAGAAAATTGAAACAAGAAATTCGAAAGATTCTTTTTTTCTTTTGTTTCAATTTTTCAATTCGAAAAAAGAAATTTTAAACCAGAAATTGGAAAAAAGAAATTTGAAAAAAAATTCGAATAAAAATTCGCAGAAGGAAATTTAAAACAAGAAATTTGAAACAATAGCAGAGACTTATCTGAATAAAATTCTATGTAATATTGAAAATATTGACAATCGACAAATTGATTCTGTATGATAAAATATCAATCATCACGCAGAGAAAGTTAAAATTGAACTTCATAGACATTGTTTTCTGGCTCAGAAGGACAAAATGAAACTATTGTTCCGGAACAAAGATAATTTACGTAGAATGTGTAACACGCCTGTTTTGATCGCCTTTCAAAGGATTTTACTTATTAAGCAGAAATTCTGAAACTTTTACCTTACGCACGATTGAATGTGCTTGAAAAGAAAGTGAACTTTTGCCTGATAAAAGTATAAAGACAAAATTCGTTTCCAAATATTATTTTTTAATTTTCAATAACTAAAATAGTAATTTTTTATTTTTCCCCGTTTTACGAGTATTAATTTATTAATTTAAAGGCTCGAACTTATAATTTTTCTATAAATATTATTTACTCGATTATTAATTAATATGTAATTAATAATTGAAATTCGTCATTTTCTATTCTTTGTTCTACGAGTATTAATTTATTAACTTAAAGACGAACTTATTTTTCCTATAAAAATATTTAAAAAAATTAAAATTAATTTTTTTTTGTTTTACGATTTACGATAAAGTAAAAAATATATAAAGTAAAAAAAAATTTAGTAATTAAAATACGTAATTTCTCTAAGGATATTTATTTTATTTAACAATCAACATTTTTTAATTCTATATTTCATTCACGATAATATCAACTTTCTGTTTAATTCTAATAAATTATAATTTTTCGTTTGAAAAAATTAATCGATAATTTTAGTTATCATGGGCAAAAAAAAAAAATTTATATTATTATTTTGATTCCGAATAACTCATGTTATGTGAAACAATTTTCAAAAATAATGCAAACATTTCTTTCTTGAATTAAATATAGAGTAACAAAATGCTATAATAGACCGCGGTGAACGGAATTTATCAAGATGAAATTACTTTAAAATCATACGTCTGAAAACACTTCCGCTTTAAATCTTATAACTGACAAGCACTCTATCGTCCTGAGAACGCTCTTTACAGTTCAGTATATACAATCATGCAAAACCGGTACTCTGTTACTGAAACTCAATCCAATATTTCTTTATACGATATGAAATTTTATTTTTTATGACCGAAAATCTACTTTGTCGGTGGCATTTTTACAAAAAAAAAAAGAATGAGCGAATTTCGTAATTTTCTTCTCTAAGAAAAAAATGACAATTTTAATTTTACTTATTATTTTTCAAAATATGCTTTTTATTATTTTTGTCCTTCATAAATTTTGCAATATTAGCAAAATTGTTTTAATATTAAAAAATTTTGGTCAATATTTATAAACTAATAAAAAATATTTTGGAAAATAATAAAAGGAAGTAGAATTAAAATTACTGTTATTTTTTTCGTCAAACCCCATAAAAATTTGCAAAAACATCAGCAAAGTTGTTATAATATTCAAAAAAATTTCTTACAATTTCTTAATTCATTCTTCTTATAAAATTTGCAACAATATTAGCAAAATTGTTTTAATATTCAAAAATTTTAGCAGTATTTATAAATAATTTATTTGTTATTTATTATTTATTATTATTTACTTTATTATTATTTTGTTTTTAAATAAAATTTGCAACAATATTAGCAAATTCGTTTTAATATTAAAAAAATTTTTGCAATATTTATTTATTTATTATTTTTTTTATTTGTTGTTTATTTATTATTTATTAATTATTTTTCTGCTACTTATTATTTACTTTATTATTCTTTGCCTATTTTTAAAATAAATTTTGCTAGAATATTAGCAAATTTATTTTAATAATCAAAATTTTTTGCAATGTTTATTATTTATTTTATTTATTTATTACGTAATATTATAAACAATAGAATATTGTGCTAATTTTGACAATGTTAGAATTTCCTTTCTCTGGTCCCTCTGGTAATTTAAATGCATTATTTAGCAGTAGAAAAGAAATAAGAGTGATTTTAATGCCAATAAAATATAAAATGTGCAAAAGGGAAATATTAAAAAGAGAATTTTTTTTTGCAGAAAATTCATACCTGAGGCAAACGAAAGAAGAAGAAGAAGAAGAAGAAGAAGTTCTTTTTTTTGTTATCACCAGAATTCCATGCGTATTAGGAATCTCACAAGAGATCCGTTAAAAAAACAATTTCACATTAACGATATGAACAAAGGCATCTGTCAGTACCGGAAACACACGCGACTTGATTTTACACCGTCGTCACAAATGTATGAACATTAATTGTTATTTATTTTTGTCATATTTATTTATTTTTTTATCAAGAAAACATTTTATTACATTTTCTTCGTTTTCTTTTTTAGATTTTTTTTCACTATGAAATGAGAGCACGAGATATAGAGGGAAAATTGAAGAGAAACACGATTCGCGGGCTTTTCTCGATGCAAAAGAGAATATAAAAGACAAACCGGACAACGAACTCACGCGACCGACCACCAGGTGCAGAAAGCGTTAGACCGGGACTCTGGACTCGTGTTCACCTGCTGAATCCGACAGACTGTTGGCAGGTAGGGTATTCAGAACCAATGTTCATTCGCTGCAATCCACTCTTTTTCTCCCACCGCAAAACCGATTCGATATAATGACCATCATACTATTGCTTTTACAAATGAAAGCACTCTATGATTTCGTCAAAAAAAAAAAAAAGAGAAAAAAATGTTTTTTCAAACCACATCCGAAAAAAGGACAAATTTCTTTTTTTATTATTATTTATGATAATTTTTCTCGGCAATTGCTATTTTTTTGTCGTCGTTGAATAAATCGTCGGTATTTGAATACTTTGTGGAAAAGAAATTTCTCTAGATTGAGAGAAATATTTTATTTATTTTATTCATTGTTTTTTATTTATTTTCCGGTCTTGGATAATATGATTTTTTGAAGCTTTTTTGGACTATTTTCAAAAAAGACTATTCTTTCGATTTACTTCCAGAAAAGGCGACTTATTTCTACGTATTTTCAAAAAATGCGACTTTTTCGACTTTTCTTCTAAATATTGCAACAAAATACCACTTTTTTGGTATAAGAAGCAACTATAATTTCGATTTTTACAATTACTACTTAATTTCAAATTCCAATTGTTTAAAATTTATTATTTAAAATATCTATTTTCGATTAGAAAAAATTTATTGTCGAATTTCGATAAAATTATATTTGAATAGAAGTTTTTTACAATGTAATTAAAATTTTGAAAATATAATTAAAATATTGTTAAACAATTGAAATTTAATAACATATTTTGAAAATAATAGAATTTTTCAAAAGAAATTTTGGAAGATATTTAAAAAGAGTCTAATATTTGAAGAATTTTCGGTACAATTTAATTAAATTTTTGAAATATATAATGAAAAAATTGTTAAATAATTTAAATTTAATAACATATTTTTAAAATAATTGAATTTTTTAAAACAAATTTTGGAAGATATTTAAAGAGTCTAGTTTTTGAAGAATTTTTGGTATAAAATGCAAACTTATTTCGATTTTTACAATTATTATTTAATTTTAAATTTAAATTATACTTAAAATTAATTAAAATTATTATTTAAAATAACTATTTTTGATTAGAAAAATAATTATAGTCCAATCTTTCGAAAATAAGTTTTTTTTTATTCCAAAAAAATAAAAAAATATTAAAATATCTTTTAAAAAATTTATTCTCAGAATTTTTTTCATATTTTTTTAAAATTCAATTATTTTTAATATTTTTAATTATTTCTATATTTTAAAAAATTCAAATATCTACAAAAAGAAGTGCATTAAATTTTTTTAAAAAGTATACTTGAAGAATAACGATACAGTTAAATCATTCAAAAATGATTTTTGAATAATTTTTTTATGATATAATTAAATTTTTGAAATATATTATTAAAATGTTTTTAAATAATTGAAATTTTGTAAAATTTTACTGAAAATAATTGATATATTTTAAGAATTTCATTGTAATATTTAAAAAATTAAATTTTGAGGAAACTTAATTTATTGTACATTTTGAAAATAGTTGAATTTTCGAAAAAGAAAAATCTTCGAATGATAATTTCAAAATGAAAATGAATGAAAATTAGCTTCAAAAAATTATAATAAAATATTTTTAAAAAGACGTAAAATAATAACTTTTTTTAAATAAAAACTTTTCAAATTTTCAAATTTCGGAAAATTATTCAGTTTTAAAAATTTTAATTAATAGCCTTCAAAGAATTATTTTTTTTAATTTTCCAATATTTCTTTTAAGGAATACAATTATTTTTGAAAAATTACATTACAATAATATTTAAAAAAAAAAACTAATTTTTAGGATTTTTTACCAGTAATTTTTTAAAATTCAACTGAATTCTAAAAAAAATTAAATTAAAATTTTTAAAAAATACTATTTTTCTATACTTATCTATTATTAAAATTTTGAAATAATCGGATATTTTCATGTTTGTATTGAAAATTTCCTTGAAAAATTTGATTATTTCTTAATATTTTCGAGAAAAAATTCTTTTAAAAAATTCAATTCTTTACTAAATTGGAATCATTAACATTAAAATATCTATTATTCTTCAAAAATTGTTTTAAAATATTTTTAAATACTAATTTAAAAAATTTTCTTTTTCAATTTTTTAAAAATCAATTATTTTTAATATTTTTGGATATTTTAAATTGCATTTTTTAAAAAATGAACTTTAATAACTTTAAAAAAATTGTAAAGACGAGAAGAGTTAAAAAGAAAATAAAAAATTTTAGATAGGTAATAATAATTATTAAATTTCAAAAAAATTGCAGTTTGCAATTTTTATAAAATTTTTTTAATTAAAAGTTAAAACTTTTAAAAATTGAATTCTTGTGAAAAAATGACAAGTATTTAAATATTAATTAATTAATTTATTCTGCAAAAATTTTTTTAATTTTGAAGAATTAAATTTAGAAATTAGTGAAAAGTCAGGGAAATAAAAAATAAAATTCTTGTGACAACACTGAAGAAAATAAACAAATTTTTCGAAATTTTCTGACTTCTTAAAGTCGATCTGAGGTATTTATTTTTCATTTTTCCCTATAAAAAAATTCATGATCATTCAAAAGAAAGAATCTTTTTTATAAATTTTTTCTTCCTATAAATAAAGTCATGATTTGATTTCTTTTCTTTTCTGTGAATACATATTTAATCGAAATCGTTTTAAAAAGAGAAAATTTACATTATGGATTTTTTTTCTTTGAATTAGAGTACGGAATTAATTGATATGATGACAATTCGTATTGTGACAATGAAAAAAGAACTTTTTTCTTTCACTGTAATCAGTACAGTGACGTTACGCATTTGTGATCTATGATTTCATTAAAGTTACTTCCAGTGCATGATAATTAATAATTATACAGTGAATGAATGAATGAATGAATGAATGAAAAAAAAGAAAAATTCTCAAAAGCGGGACAGAACTTTTCAAATCCGTCATTCGTGAATTTTTCACCGCATCTATTGTATTGTTTCTGTCTCTTCGTATTCAACATTCTAAATATTTTTCGTTCATTTTTATTTTTTATTTTTTTTATAACATGTAATATTTATTTTATAAACATTCCTCTAAATATTTTTTTTTATTTTCATTTTATTTTTTTTATTATAGTAGGTATTTATTTTATTTAATTTTTAAATCACTTTTTTTTTTAATTTCAAAATTTACAAAATTTTGAAATTGAAAACAAAAAAATTGTATGTAATTAAAAAAAATATATTTTCATGTTCATAATATTTTGCAATAATGACATAAATTCAATGTGTTCTTATCACAAGAACACTTTTGATTTCCTTATTGCAATTATTTCGCATTAAAGGTGAACTAGTTATCAAAAATGTAATTCTGGTTTTTCGAGTCCTTATTTTCAAGAGACAAATTTATTAATAAACGAAAGCAGTCCAGATAACCTTTTATCAAAAGAGTCCAACGGGTTGATTTGAATTTTGCAAAATTGTGACTAAAATTCCACAAGTTTGATTTAAAAAAAAGAGAATTATTTACGATTTTTTTCCATATCTTTTCTCTTTTTTTTGAAAATGACATTTAAATATCAATGATTTTCGAGAAGAAATTTCAGAAAATTTCGAAATCAATGTAAAGGAAGTAAAAGAAGTCGGCAGTGTGATAGTTATCTCTGTAAAAATGTATTTATTACTGAAAGTATTACCTACAGTAGCAACTAAAAGACGCACTTAATTTACCTTTGGAACGCATAGAATTTTGTTCCGCTAGCGAAACAATAACAGAATGACCTTGCGACTATTTGCCACATACAGTTGAAAAATTTTTTTCAAGGTGAATCCAAAGAAAATTGTGCCACAAAATAAATAATTTGACAATTTTTTCTGTTGTTTGGTGTAAAAACAAAAAATTCCCTTATTTTTTTCAAATTTAATAATTAAAATTAAAAAAATTATTAATATTATTATTATTATTATTATTATTATATTATATTATATTATTAATTATATTATATTATTATTATTATATTATATTATTATATTATTATTATTATTATTTATTAATTAATTTATTTGTTTTTTAATTAATTTAATTAATTGAAAACCAACAAATAAATAAATTTGCTACTGGTGGAAATACCGAAAATACTTTTAGTAAATATATTTTTATACAGAGATAAATTATTAATAAAGAATTTAATAAATTGAAAAAAACAAAATTCGGTTTTTATTTATTTTGAATGTTATTTCATTGAATATTTCGGAAATAATAAACAATATTGCGGAAAATTGTTTTATTGAGTTATTTCATAATAATTAGAAAACAATGTTATACTTAATTTTATGTTTTTCTTATAATAAATTCTTTGTTTCAGTTTGGTGACTCGACGGAAAATTGAAATTGCTAAAACAAAGTTTGAAATCGAGGCGCAAAGTGGGAAATATTATGGTTTTTAGTCACAGTGCTCGGAACCGATAAAATTAAGTGCAGGAAAAACTTGAGCAAATAATAATGGTTAATGAACCTGTTTCACATAATCATTGACTAGATGCTTCAAATATTTTTTTTTTGGGACCTTTTTTGAAAGAAATTCCTGAAAAAATGCTAATTTCCATTCGTCACAATACAATAAGAAAATGGTGAGATTTTCCTATTTATATTAAATTAATTGAGTCGAAAAAAATTACAGTTTAGAATTATTTATAATTAAAGGAAAATTAAATTTATTTAAAAATAATTGAATTTGTTTAAAGATAATTAATTGAAATTGTATTTAAATTTTCAGTGCAGTGAATAAATAACACATCAAGAAGTCAAATTTTCTTTCGAGATGAAAATTAACATTCTTGGTTTAATTTTCACTTTGGGAAGTCTATTTGTCTTCGTCTTATTGCTACATGTCAAGATTAGATTTTAAATTCTAATAAAGGAATTTTCGTGAGTAGTTTACAAATAAAATTCTACCGTAAAAAATTTGAAATAGTTCCATATAATATTCTCTTTGGAAATTGAAAAAAAGAGAAAGTAGTGCGCAAAACTGTATTCTTCAAATGCATTCGAAAATAATTTTTTTTCTTTTTAAAAATATTGCTTTGGAAAATTTTCAATTGTATATTTAACATTTTTTTGGAAAATATTAAATTAAACTTATATTTATAAATTGGATTTTCAAATTGGATTTAATTTTTAATGGTTTTTTCAAATTGGATTTAATTTTGAATACACAAAAATTATAGGGTATAAAAGACACGATAAAAAGAGAAATAATCTTTATTGGTCAATGGTACAAGACACATTTTTTTGCATTTAAAACCCGTTCAATTCAATTTTATAATATTCTAACTGCACTTGCACATAACTGAGGGAGAAATATAACTTGTTGATTGATTTCGTGTTTATAGTACGAAATAGCAATTTATTTTTAACATTTTTATATTAGTTATTTATGGACAACAAATTTTCATGAATAGGAAAAGAAATTAATTACTTATTCATTTTCTAATTTTTCTTTTTTTGTTGAAAATTATATTTTCAAGCGAATAATAATTGTGCATAAAAATTTGTTTAAATAATTTTATTTATATAGTTTAATTATAAATTATATTTAATATAATATAATAAAATATTATATAGATAATTAATATATTATTTATTATTTAATGGTTTGTAATTTATCACTTAATTTATAATTTATTATTATAAGTTATAAATTATTATATAATTATAAATTATATTATAATTTATTATTTTAAATAAATTTTTTAACATTTGAAAAATATGTCACATTATTATGACAAATATTTAAATAAATAATTTGTATTATTTATTATGGAAAATAAATATTGGAAATTATAATTAGATAATACAGTGAGAAAAAATTAATTACAATAAATAATTAATGAGTTTCAAAGAAGATAATTATATAAATCATTCAATAATTTGTTGAAATGCAGCTTGAAAATTACAAAAGTTTCTATTTGAGTTTTGAATTTTTATTTTATATTAAATTATGTTCTGTTACAAATTGTTCTGCATTTATGTCTTCCTGTGAAAGCGATTGTTAAATTTGAAAAAAGAAAAAAAATTTTCTGAAGAAAGAAAATCCATAACTTTTACTATTTAGTATTCTCTTTTATGCGTAGACAAGATTTTTTTTTCAGCTACATGATCTAAAGACGCTTATAAATATTGAGTTTATCTTTTTCAGATGCAAAGGAGAAAAAAACCTTTTGACTAATGAGGAATTCTAAATCAAAAGTACTTAACTGTACTTTAGAGCAATAAGTAATGACCATCGTCGTTTGGAAAAGTTTTCAACATGAAGTTAGAGAGCAAGAGAGAATAAGGAATTTTCTGCGAAATTTTTATTTTAGCCGACAGGCAAAAGAGGAAAAGAAATACGCAGAAATATAATTATGGTGAGCAATTTTGTCAATAGTTTAAAAATCGTTAATTACAACAAGCAGGAAAAAATTAGAAACAAAATTTGAAAGAAACTGAGAAACGTTTGCAAACAAATTTGAAAAAAACTGAAAAAATCGAAAACTAATTTCAATAAAACAGAAAAAAACAACAAAGTTGAAAACAAATTTGAAAAAAACTGAAAAAAATTTGAGAAAGAATTTGAAAAAAAGTAAATGTAAAAGATTTTACACTTTTAAAATGTTAACATTCTTTAACGGGTTTTTTTTTTTGCTCACAAGTTTAGTAATTAATTAAGAGTCTTAACGTTAAGTTTTCCTAAATGTAATTATTTATTTACATTAGTATTTTGTCAACAAATAATTTATTTGATTATTTTCTCTCTGTACTTTGTCAATATCCCGGTTTCTTATCTCACGTCTAACGAAAACATTATTTATCCTTTTTTTTTGTTTGCACAAATTTTCAGGTCAGTTGAAATTTCCTTTTTTCCGATTAGATTCATATCGATCAAAATACAAACACGCTAATTTCTGTACATATTCGACAAAATTCTTGATATTTATTTATTTATTCCATGGGCAGTTATGTTAATTTTGTCATCAGGTTTTTCAAAAGAATTAAACATAATTTTTTTCCCCAATTTTTTTGAATGTGTCACTTAATTAAAAGTTTTCGGAGGTCATTATATGTATATGTATGTGCGATTAGACTAAAAACTGGAAATTTGTTTTTCGTAATGATATATTAAATATTACATAAGCGAGTTTTTTTCTCATTTCCGCTGCAATTAAAAGATGGTTTTTCAGTTTTGTAATGTGTTTTATTAAAAAAAAAAGTACATTAAAAGTTAAAAAGTTGTAAATGTTTTTGTTTTCTTTTGAAATTTGAGAATATTTTTCATTAATTATTCGAATGTGTAAAAAATCGGAATTGACATTAAATTAAAGCGTTTTAAATAGAGATAACATTTTTTTTTTATTCACATTTTATTGAAAAAGATAAGGAATTCGAGTGGAAATAATTAATTTTTGATTGTTTCTTCAGAATTTTAGATTGACTCTTCGGATCTTGATCTATAAATAGTAATTCACTTCAATATTGTCTTTAGTTTTTAGAGAAGTTTCTTTCAATTCTCATCAAACGATAGAATTTTTCTGATAATTTTGAATTTATTGGTTTAAATAAATATTAAATAAAAACTCGTGTTGTTTTCATTTTTTAGAGAATTTTCTTTCAATTCTCATCAAAAAGTAAAATTTTTCTAAAAATAAAAATACATTTAAATAAAAAGGTAAAAAAAATTGAAGGTAAAATAATTTTAAATAATAATAAATAAATAAGTAAATAAATAAATAAGCAATTTAGTTAATAAAAAGTAAATTTTTTTATTTATATCTTATTCATTTTATTATATACTTATAGAGTTTATTAAATTTATTTTTTTGCTAATATTCTTAAATTCTTTTTATTAACAAATTTATTAAAATTTTGAGTTAACGACAGTTAATACTGTGACAAGAACCAGTTGTTGCATAAGTTAAGTGAATATAACGGGTTCATGAGTCTCATTCGTGTTACTTCCAGAAAATGAGAGAACCTAGTTCAAAGACCTTGTTAAACTCAGTATTTTTCATGATTTAAAAAAAATAATTATTACCAGTTGTTATAAACTTCAAGAGAGAAAGGAAAAGTCTTTTTTCTTTTTTTTCTATATTTTTTTTTTGTTTTGAATGACCAAGTTTGCACTGCCAACAATAATACGACCTTGCAAATTTACTACGTACGCTCCGTGAAATTGTAATATAGGAAAAATAATTTCTTCTGCATTCTTTTTGCCGGAATTAAAATTTTTAGCTCGAATAGAATTTTTTTTTCCTTTTTCTTGGATTTTTTTATTTTTTTTCAATTTTTTTTCTTTCCATTCTTTTTTCTCTTTTCATTCCATAACAAATTTCTTTTCAATTCTTTTACTGATTGACACTAAGAGAAAATAAAAGTATTTTAAAAATTCATAAAAGTAAAAATCAAAGAAAATCATGAAAATATAAATAAATAAAAGACATAAAAATGTATAGTAAAAATGAAATTAAAAAAAAACGTAGAAATAAATCAAAAAAGAAAAATAAGTGAATGGAAAAATAAAAATTGAAATTTACTCAGAAATGAAAGTGATTTGAAAACAAAAAAAATTTTTGCTAGCTTTCGTGATTTCGAAGGTTAAAAAAAAAGAAAAAGAAACTAGATCAAAAGCGTTGATTGTGGCTTAATTAAATTTCACCTAAGTGGTGAAAATTGTAGAGGATAAAATCGAGAGGATTTGTGGCTTTTTATCAGAGAGAAATGAAAAAATGCAAAAATTCTCCATGTAATTATATGACATTTTGCTCTCAGTGTCTTGCAACATAACTAGAAAACCACATAAACATATGAATTCGCTCACATCTTGTTATGTTAATTAGAATATATTAGAAATTTAAACAAGAGGAAAAAACATTGCCGGAAAAATTTATAATTCAAAGATTTTTAATATTGAATGAAACTGGAATTTTTTTTTAAATGTTTTACTCACTGACACTTGTATTATTGTCATAAACAATTTGTTTACTATTTACTGAATTATTTACCATTTACTAATTTTTTACTATATATTTACTGAATTATTTACTACATATTTATTTGCTAGTTAGTAATTTCTCCATTTTTTTAAACTTATTTACTGCTTATTTACTATCTATTTTTTTACAATTTATTTACTTTTTGTAATTTATTCACTGATTTATTTACTATTTATTAATTTATTTACTGTTTATTTACTATTTCCTAATTTATTTACTGTTTATTTACTATTTACTAATTTATTTTCTGTCTATTTAATAATTTATTTCCTGTTTACTAATTTATTTACTTTTTTATAATTTATTTACTGATTTATTTGCTATTTACTAATTGTTTACTATTTATTTACTATTTACTAATTTATTTACTGTTTATTTACTATTTACTAATTTTTTTACTGTTTGTTTACTAATTTATTTACTGGTTATTTACTATTTACTAATTTTTTACTCTTTGGTTACTAATTAATTTACTGTCCATTTACTATTTACTAATTTATTTGCTATTTCACAATTTATTTACTATTTACTAATTTATTTACTGTTCATTTACTATTTACTAATTGTTAACTTTTTATTTACTAATTGTTAACTTTTTATTTACTAATTTATTTACTATTGACTAATTGCTTGCTATTTACTAATTTATTTACTATTTACTAATTGTTTGCTATTTACTAATTTATTTACTATTACTAATTTATTTACAATTTTTTTTACTATTAAATAATTTATTTAATATTTATTTACTCTTTATTTACTGTTTAATTGCTATTTGTTTAACTGTTTATTTACTCTTTATTTACTATGTGCGATTTTTTGCTTGCAGAAAACAACTAAAGAATTGACATTTCTGGAGGAATGTTATCGTCCGTTGAAGAATGTTTATAAGCTATTAAAAAGAAAAAAATATACTTGTTTTGTATAATCAAGGAGATAAATTTTTCTGATGGTGTGTCTTGGATATCAGCAACCGGCACCGTGAAGAACCTGCTCATTAGGTCGTGCCTTCTGATTCTAAGCATTTTATTGGTCGACAAATCGAGGAGTAAACATATTTTGCATAATTGAAATCCTGACGTCAGACTAAGGTTGTTTATAAAACGGCGTGATTTTTTGAAATCTTCTCACAACACACATTTCAGGAAAAGTGCAATTCATTCATTATGAAGGAAGAATTTAAGGTACTTTTCAAACTCAATTTTTTCTATTTTTCTTTATTTTTTATTTTTCTATTTTGTTTTTTATTCAATTTTAATCCTTTCATAACTCTATTTTTCCTATTCTTGTTTATTTTTTACTTTTTTATTTCTATTTTGTTTTTCTTTCTTCATTTTGATTCAATCATAAATCTATTTTTTCTATTCTTGTTTCTATATTTTTTATTTTTCTATTTTGTGTTTTTTACATTTTAATTTATTCATTAATTTCAATTTAATTTGCAAACTACATTTCTTGTATAAATCCTGTTCTTTTTTAATATCTCAAATGTAGAATTAAAAGACAGGCGAAACTGATAAAATTCGCGACTTGAAAAATTATATTCAGAAATGTAGAGAATTTTTTGTGGTAAACTGATTAAATTCGCTACTTGAAAAATTATACTCGCAGAAATATGGTGGAGAATTTTTTTATAGTAAAAAAAAAATTTTCTTTTTTAGTATTTGACAGGTTTTGATTGTGAATTCAGCAGTGAGGATGAACGCTGTCCGGGAGCACTTCCCGTGGGTCAAAATAGTCCTCAAAAATGTCCTTACGGTCTTTACGCTGAACAATTGTCGGGCAGTGCTTTTACCGGTGAGTTAATAAAATACAAAAATTAATATATATATTCATTAAATATTATTCGTGATATTAATAAATAACGTAATAAGTAATAAGTAAATATTAACGTAATAGATAAATTATAATATTTTCTAATAGTTAACAACTTGAATATTAAATGTTTCAGTAAACACAGTCGCGATGATACAATATTATATACGATGAATATAAATTTTAATAAGTGTCATTAAAAATTATTTAATTATATATTATATATTATATTGTTTCGAAAAGAGGAAATCTGTAAAGTAGAGGAGAAATAATAATATAATTTAATTAATTGCGTTTGAAATATAATGAAGTGTTTAGAAGAAACACACCTAATTAAGAGATGTTTTTAAAATTTCTTACGGAGAATAAATTCCTTCAGTGGAGAAAATTTCCTTTTTCTATTCCAGTTCCAAGAGGCGAGAATAAAAGATCTTGGCTGTATCGAATAAGACCTTCGGTTGTGCACGATGTCTTTGAACCAATTCAAGAATTACAAGATCATGTCACTCATGAATGGGACCAATTTCCCCCTACACCTAATCAGGTCTTGAAATTAACTAAATTTCTTTTTCTCTCTTCTGGATTTTATTATTTTAGTTTTATTTTTATTGTTTATTTTTTAACTAGCACATGTTACGCACGCTTGCGCGGGAAACGTGGAATTTAATTTTTTATTATGAATTTTTATTTTCAAATAACAACTTCAATTTCGCAGAAATTCAATTATTTAAAAAAAATTTTTAAACATTCTTGTCAAGAATTCAATTATTTTTATGAACTATAAAATTCTTCGCAAGAGTTCAATTATTTTTATAAATAATAAGCTTTCGCAAGAATTCAATTATTTTCATTACGATTTTAATTAAATTGCTCGAAAGAATTCAAGTATTTGAAAAAATTTTGAAAATAATTATTTATCAGAATTCAATTATTTTCATTACATTTTTAATTAGATTTCTTTAAAGAATTTAAACCAAAAAATTACTTTTCTTTCAAAATTTTTAGTAAAATTCGTCGCAAAAGAATTAAATTATTTTCATAAAAAAATAAAATACTTTGCAGGAATTAAATTATTTTCTATTCAATTTTATAAAAATTTCTTGATAGAACCTAACTATTTTCAATAATTTAAACAATTTTAATAATTTGCAATCAAAAATTATAATAAAATTCTTTGCGGAAAATCAATTATTTTCTTAAATAATAAAATTCTTGACTGAAATTCAATTATTTTCTATGCGATTTTAATTAAATTCCTCGAAAGAATTCATTTATTTACAAAAACTTTAAAAAAATTTATTTATTAATATTCAATTATTTTCATAAGAAATAAAATTTCTCCCAGGAATTCAATTATTTTCAAGAATTTAAAAGAATTTAATTATTTGCAATACAATTTTTACTAAATTAATTCGAGGTATTTTAATATTCTTCGAGATAATTAAATTGTTTTCAAAAATTTTAATTAAAAGTCTTTGCTAGAATTCAATTATTTTCATAAATAATAAAATTCTTGACAGGAATTCAATTATTTTTGAAACAATTTCAATTAAATTTCTCGAAAGAATTCAATTAGTTAAAAAAAATTCGAAGAAATTTATTTATTAGAATTTAATTGTTTTCAATACAATTTTAATTAAATTCTTTGGAAGAAACTAATTATTTTTAAAAGTTTTTAATAAAATTCTTCGAAGCAATCCAATTCTTTTGAAAAATTTTATTAAAAATCTTAGCAAGAAATTTTATTAAATAAATTATTGAATTATTATTTAAATAATAATTATTAAATTATTAAATATATCATAAGTTATAAAATTCTTCGGAACGTTTCAATTACTTTGAATACAATTTTAGTAAACTTTCTTGATACAATTCCATTATGTATTCTTTAAAATTTTAATAAAATTAAATGAAAGAATTCAACGATTTTCAAAATTTTGATAAAATTCTTTAGAAGAAAATTTTATAAGTTTTTAATAAAATTCTTTCAAACAATAAATTGAATTACTTTGAAAAGTTGTAACTAAAAAAATCTTGGAAAAAATTGAATTATTTTCAAAAGTTTTAAATAAATTTCTTCGCATGAATTTTGTTATATAAATTATTAAATTTTTAAATAAATTTTCATAAGTTCTAAAATTTTTCAGAGGAATTCAATTACTTTCAAACATTTTAATAAAATTCTACATAAGAATTGAATTACTTTTCAGAATCGAAATTATGAAAGTTAAAAACAAATTATAACTTTTTTTGAACAAAAATGTCATCTTTGAAATTAAAAAAAAAATCCTGTCATTAACGCAAAATTATGGAAAATAAGAAATTTCTAAATTTTTCTTGCAAAAATGTTTCTACGAAAATATAAATATTTCCTAATAAATATATAGTATATATTAATAATTAATACTAATAATATATTAGTACAAATTTTTTAACTTTTCAGAACAAAAGTAATCTAAAATTTCTGAAAATTAACTTTTTATTTTACATAGAAGAAAACAGTAACAAAAATGTATTATTTATTTATTTATACAATTTTTCATCGATATTAATATGTCTTTTTGTTTTTAGATTCGTTGGATGCCATTCGACGTGCCAACTCGTCAGGAACCGGAAGTAGATTTCGTTGAGGGTTTACATACACTTTGCGGAGCTGGCGATGCTCGCACGCGAGCCGGAATTGCTGTTCACATTTACCTCTGTAATTCTTCCATGCGAGATAAAGCCTTTTACAATTCTGATGGAGACTTCCTTATTGGTAAAGGAATATATCCTCTGTTTCTATATATGCGTGTGTGAAAGTCATGGTCTACATAAATTTCAAACTCTTTTACTTATAAACAATGCGTGATCATTATTGACCAGTATTTATTTATTTTGTTTTTTTCTTTCTTTCACTATATTTTTGTTTTTATCGACAATAAATTGCTATACAAAGTACTTTAAATATGAAACAAAAAACATCGAAAGAGTATACGAAAGTGAAAGTACTTACCACCCTGTCTTAGAATTCAAATCATTCTTTTTAAAACGTTTATTTTCATTTTTTTGAAAGATACTATTTTGTTTTTAAATTATTAAAAAAATTACACTAAAGTATTAAATTTAATTGTTGAAATAATATTTGATTTAAAAATTTTCCTTTTCTTTTAGTACCACAATTGGGTGTCTTGCAAATTACGACCGAATTCGGAAGAATGAGATGTGAGCCAAATGAGATTTGCGTTATTCAACGAGGAATGCGTTTCTCCGTGACAGTATTTGGTCCATCCAGAGGTTACATTCTTGAGGTCTTTGACAATCACTTTCAACTTCCAAATTTGGGACCAATTGGTATGTTTGAAACGAATACGAAACAAAAAGAAAACGAAAACAACATAATTAATCTTTAAAAAGTTCAAAAAATTTAAAAAGAACATTTTTTGAAAATAAAATTCAGTTAATTCCAAATTATCGAACCAATTGGTATGTTTGAAAAGAATTGAGAATACAAAACAAAAAGAATACAAAAATAATTATTAAACTTTAAAAAGTTTCAAAAAAGTTTTAAAAAAAGATTCTTTTTTGAAAGATAAACTTTGGTTACATAATTAATAACTATACGAGAAATATAAAATTTTCATCTTATAAAATATATATAATTTTCCATAAAAATCAAATATAATATTACATACGTATATATACGTATAAATTGGAATTAATTTAATAGAAATTTTTTTAATGGCTAATTATATTATAATATTCTTCTAGTTTATAATTAAGAGAAGAAATTTGTTGAATTACTTTTTCAAAAGAGAATAATGAAAGTAACTTGGAATTAAAAGAAAAAATTAATTAAAATGCAAGTGGATGAATAAGAAAAATCTTGATTGAAGAAAAGAATTGTTTATTTGGAAGTGCAATAGCCTCTTTGCTATGAATAATAATTCGCGTTATAATATACACACAGACATAAACAGAGAATTTGCGTTGTTGCGAGATAAATCACTTGTAATGTTACTCAAAAAAAACTTTCGAGGCGAAACGGAAGAAAAAGTTTATAATATAATTCTTCCGATTATAAAAGATCTCTTATTTATTCCGAAACTCAAAACTCGTATCGCGCAAGTGAAAGGTGAATCTCAGAATTTAGCCAAATAATTAAATCGTACTAATAAATTTATTTCTGCATTTATTAAAAATTTCTTTAATAAAATTTGCTTTTTGTTTCCTAATTTTTTAAAATAATTTTTCTTTTTTCATGTTTTGAATTTTAAAATTAATGAAATTCTAATTTAAAGATTTGGAAATTAAATAATAACAAAAATTAATTATTTAATTACTACTTCAGATTTAGATTTTAGAGAATAAGTTTTGTATTTAAATGAATTCTTTTGAAAAATTTTATTAAAATGTTTTAAAGTAATTCAATTTTGTTTGAGAAATTTTATTATTTACGAAAATAATTGAACTCTTGCGAAGAATGTATTTTCGAAAATGTTAATAAAATTCTCGACAAGAATTCAATTATTTACAAAAATTTTGATAGAATTGTTAAGAATTCAAATTATTTATTTGTTAAGAATTCAGTTACATATATTTAATGTATATTTACGGCAATTTTATCTAAATTCCTTGAAAGAATTTTAACTTTCTTCGAATCAATTAAATTGTTATCAAAAATTTTTATAAAATTTTTGTCAAGAATTAAATTATTTTCCCAAATAATTTTACAATAGTAACATTTATATTGTGTATGAGAAAGAATTAGATTTTTGTCTAGAATTTTATTAACATTTATAAAAATAATTAAATTCTTTCCAAGAATAGAATTAAAATTGTTTTTAAAATAATTGAATTTTTAGAAAGAGTTTTATAAAAATTTTTGCAAGTAATAGAATTCTTTTGAAAAATTTTATTAAAATGTTTAAATGTTTACGAAAATAATTGAATTCTTGCGAAGAATTTTATTTAAATTTTTGAAAATAATTAGGTAAATTGTTTCGATGAAGTTTAATAGAAATTCTTAAACATTAATAAATAATAATATAATTATTTTCGCAAATAAGAAAATTCTTCCCAAGAATTCAATTATTTTAAACGCAATTTCAACAAAATTTCTTGATGGAATTTAATTATTTTCGAAAATTTTAATTAAATTCTTGACAAGAAATCAATTATTTACAACATTTTTGATAGAATTGTTTATAAGAATTCTATTATATTTAAATGGAATTTGAACTAAATTCCTTAAAAAATGTTAACTTTCTTCGAATCAATTAAATTGTTTTCAAAAATTTTAATAAAATTCTTGTAATTAAATTATATTCATAAATAATTTCACAGAATTTAAATTAATATTGTATAGAAAAGAAATTGATTCTTGTGTAGAATTTTTTTAAAATTTTCCAAAATCAATAAAATCTTTCGAAGAATTTAATTGAAATTGTATTGAAAATCATTAAATGCTAATAAAAAGTTTTATCTAAATTTAAAAAATTTTAAAATCTTTTGAATTCTTTTTAAGTACTTCATTAAACTTTTCTAAAATAATGGATTTTTTTCGAAGAATTTTAATAAAAATTCTCGAAATTATTAAATAATTTTGTATTAATTTGTTAATTATAGTTAATAAGTAAATTTTTTTTTAATTTTGAATCTGAAATTATTCAAAAATTGAAGTTGATATTTAGAAGTATAAAATTTTGTAATTTTTATAATAATAGGAAATGATGAATTCCGGATCTCTGTCCACACTTGAAGTTAGTTATAGTTATTCTTTTGTTTTTTATACGTTTTGATAGAAAATAGAAATATACATATACATATACATATACATATACATATACATACATTATAATAATCGTAAGTTTCCTTTCCGTTAGCAAATTATCTGCATTCATTTGTTTGTTTTGAAAATTTAATTTTGTGGGTTAAGTATTGGGATTTTTTATATATTTTTTAATGTCAAACTTTTTAATGTGTAAAATACCTACTTTACTTATTAAATTGTCTCGACTCTTTAGTAAAAAATCTAAAATTATCAAAAATTCGAAAAAATTCAAAAATCCGAATTTCTTAAAATTTAACATTTTTTCCTCTCTTTTATGGGATTTAGCTTCATTATTTTTGTGCTTTTGAAAAATACTTTACTTATTAAATTGTCTCGACTCTTTAGTAAAAAATCTAAAATTATCAAAAATTCGAAAAAATTCAAAAATCCGATTTTCTTAAAATTCAACATTTTTTCTTCTCTTTTATGGGATTTAGCTTTATTATTTTTGTGCTTTTGGAAAATACTTTACTTATTAAATTGTCTCGACTCTTTGGTAAAAAATCTAAAATTATCAAAAATTCGAAAAAATTCAAAAATCCGAATTTCTTAAAATTTAACATTTTTTCCTCTCTTTTATGGGATTTAGCTTCATTATTTTTGTGCTTTTGAAAAATACTTTACTTATTAAATTGTCTCGACTCTTTAGTAAAAAATCTAAAATTATAAAAAATTCGAAAAAATTCAAAAATCCGATTTTCTTAAAATTCAACATTTTTTCTTCTCTTTTATGGGATTTAGCTTTATTATTTTTGTGCTTTTGGAAAATACTTTACTTATTAAATTGTCTCGACTCTTTGGTAAAAAATCTAAAATTATCAAAAATTATCAAAAATTCAAAAATCCGAATTTCTTAAAATTCAACATTTTTTCTTCTCTTTTATGGGATTTAGCTTCATTATTTTTGTGCTTTTGAAAAATACTTTACTTATTAAATTGTCTCGACTCTTTAGTAAAAAATCTAAAATTATCAAAAATTCGAAAAAATTCAAAAATCCGATTTTCTTAAAATTCAACATTTTTTCTTCTCTTTTATAGGATTTAGCTTCATTATTTTTGTGCTTTTGGAAAATACTTTACTTATTAAATTGTCTCGACTCTTTAGTAAAAAATCTAAAATTATCAAAAATTCGAAAAAATTCAAAAATCCGATTTTCTTAAAATTCAACATTTTTTCTTCTCTTTTATGGGATTTAGCTTTATTATTTTTGTGCTTTTGGAAAATACTTTACTTATTAAATTGTCTCGACTCTTTGGTAAAAAATCTAAAATTATCAAAAATTATCAAAAATTCAAAAATCCGAATTTCTTAAAATTCAACATTTTTTCTTCTCTTTTATGGGATTTAGCTTCATTATTTTTGTGCTTTTGAAAAATACTTTACTTATTAAATTGTCTCGACTCTTTAGTAAAAAATCTAAAATTATCAAAAATTCGAAAAAATTCAAAAATCCGATTTTCTTAAAATTCAACATTTTTTCTTCTCTTTTATAGGATTTAGCTTCATTATTTTTGTGCTTTTGGAAAATACTTTACTTATTAAATTGTCACGACTCTTTGGTAAAATATCTAAAATTACCGAAAATTATCAAAAATTCAAAAATCCAAATTTCTTAAAATTCAACATTTTTTCCTCTCTTTTATGGGATTTAGCTTCATTATTTTTGTGCTTTTGAAAAATACTTTACTTATTAAATTGTCTCGACTCTTTAGTAAAAAATCTAAAATTATCAAAAATTCGAAAAAATTCAAAAATCCGATTTTCTTAAAATTCAACATTTTTTCTTCTCTTTTATGGGATTTAGCTTTATTATTTTTGTGCTTTTGGAAAATACTTTACTTATTAAATTGTCTCGACTCTTTGGTAAAAAATCTAAAATTATCAAAAATTATCAAAAATTCAAAAATCCGAATTTCTTAAAATTCAACATTTTTTCTTCTCTTTTATGGGATTTAGCTTCATTATTTTTGTGCTTTTGAAAAATACTTTACTTATTAAATTGTCTCGACTCTTTAGTAAAAAATCTAAAATTATCAAAAATTCGAAAAAATTCAAAAATTTGATTTTCTTAAAATTCAACATTTTTTCCTCTCTTTTATAGGATTTAGCTTCATTATTTTTGTGCTTTTGAAAAATACTTTACTTATTAAATTGTCTCGACTCTTTAGTAAAAAATCTAAAATTATCAAAAATTCGAAAAAATTCAAAAATCCGATTTTCTTAAAATTCAACATTTTTTCTTCTCTTTTATGGGATTTAGCTTTATTAATTTTGTGCTTTTGGAAAATACTTTACTTATTAAATTGTCTCGACTCTTTGGTAAAAAATCTAAAATTATCAAAAATTATCAAAAATTCAAAAATCCGAATTTCTTAAAATTCAACATTTTTTCTTCTCTTTTATGGGATTTAGCTTCATTATTTTTGTGCTTTTGAAAAATACTTTACTTATTAAATTGTCTCGACTCTTTAGTAAAAAATCTAAAATTATCAAAAATTCGAAAAAATTCAAAAATTTGATTTTCTTAAAATTCAACATTTTTTCCTCTCTTTTATAGGATTTAGCTTCATTATTTTTGTGCTTTTGGAAAATACTTTACTTATTAAATTGTCTCGACTCTTTGGAAAAAAATAAAAAATTATTAAAAATTATCAAAAATCCGAAAAATTGAATTTCTTAAAATTCAACATTTTTTTTCGCTTTTATACCATTTAGCTTTATTATTATTTGAATTTTTATTCAAGAAAAAAAATGGAAAACTGAAAAAATTTAGAATTTTTTAAAAATTACAGGCCTTTTCCATGATTTCCCTGATTTCCAGAAGCCTTTTAAAAATTCCATACCATTTCCATGATTTCCATGATTTCCATGATTTCCAGATTCTGTAGGAACCCTGCTTTTGTCTGACTTTCTTCTAAATTATCGAATTCAGTGATTTCTGGGGTGAATTTGGTTAAGTTGTAAAATGATTAATTTGTATTTGAATTCGTTTTTTTTGAATGTAGAAAATCTGATGTTAATTTAATTCTTTTTTCGTTATGCACGGCAAAAAATATTTAGCTGGATGAACTACAGATTTCACTTTAGTAGCGAAATTATTTAGTGCTTCAATTAATACTTTCGTTATTCTAGAGAAACTTATCGCTATTTCAAGTAAAACTTTTTTCAGTGTGTAATAATTATTATTTCTTTAAAAAGTATTTAATTTAAAATGGCTTTATAAAATAAGCAATGCAAAAGATGACCCAGATACTAATTGTAATTGTTCTAGCCATAGTTTAAGTCTAGTAATGTAAATTCTATTTAAATTGAGACCATTGAGTGAAATTATTTGATTTTTAGTTAGTTAAATCTCTTTGTTAGGTTATAATAATTATTTCTTTAAAATTTTTTAAATTGTTTAAAATAAGCAGCCCCATACAACATTCCCGCGCGCTTGCGCGCGGATAGTTTGGCTAGTTTTTATAATAATAGGAAATGATGAATTAATAATAATAATAATAAATTAATTAAAATAAAAAATTGCGAGTATTACTTGCTAGGAAATAATAAAGTTAAATTTGTTTTTTACAGGTGCCAATGGACTGGCAAATTCTCGAGATTTTGAAACCCCTTCTGCATGGTACGAGGATCGGGACGTGGATTATAAAATAATTTGCAAATATCATGGAAAAATGTTTGTCGCCAATCAACGTCACAGTCCGTTTGATGTTGTCGCATGGCATGGGAATTATGTCCCCTACAGATACAATCTTGAACGTTTTATGGTTATCAATTCGGTTTCCTTCGATCATTGCGTGAGTATATCTATAATTAATCTCTAATTAAATAAATAAAAATAAATAAATAGTTAGCTACAGTTAGTAAATTATTTCTATTTCTTAATAAATCGGAAATACATTTTTTTAGGACCCATCAATATTCACCGTTCTCACTTGTCCCTCGACGAAACCGGGGACCGCGATCGCTGATTTTGTGATTTTTCCTCCTCGTTGGTCCGTTCAGGAGAACACTTTCCGTCCACCTTATTATCATCGTAAGTAGATTGATAAATTAATGATTCGAGATGAGAATATTTTTAATGATTTACATTTAATAATAGAGTAAATCTAAAAGAATCCGATGCTCCCTTTCTTTCATTCTATACGCCTTTCTAAAGATTGACTACATAGAATTAAGCAACGCGCGTGGTGCCGGGAAATAAAGAAAGAAAAGAAGCCTCCAACGCGGATTAAGAAATTATCTTACTTTCCGATCTTTTGCTTTTCTGATAACATCTCTTATTCAATCGGTAAATAATTAAAAACACATATCTCGATTCTTGAAAGCAAAAGCAATCTTTGCTTTTATTTTTCTATTTAATTTATTTATTTATTCTTATTTTAAGAGTTTATTTTTTATATGATTATAGTGGTTTTTTTTTTTGTTTTTTTTGGTTTAGTACCACTTATTATCACACTCTTTAAAAACAAAACTAGAACGAAGATGATTGAATAATGACGGGAATGTTTCGAGAAATTAAATGAAAATCGATAAATGGTGAAAATGAAAAATCTCTTTACAATTGTATACGTAAAAAGATTTTTCATTTTCTTGTAATTTACTGCGGCTTGTCGAAATGATGCGAGATCGTTCCAGAAGAGTGCTTTTGAAAATTGATCTCTCTTGAATTCCAATTGTGAAAAGTCGGAATTTTCCGTACAATATCATCTCTATTATGGTGAATGTCAATTGAACGATTTCCCCTTTTTTCTTCACTCTACATAGTGGACCGAGAAATTCTGAAAATATAGGACGAAAGAGAATAGAGCTACACTCTCTTTATGCAAATAATTATTTCCTTAATTTATAATTTTCTAAACTTATTAGTTTAATTAAATAGATAATATTTGCATCTACATAAAGATAATATTTGCAAATTAATAGATATTATCATCGATAAAATTGATTAAATTTGAAAAAATTAATCGATGAGAAAAAATGGGAATTAATTATATTTTTCTATTTAAGGAAATTGCATGAGTGAATTTATGGGTTTAATCAAGGGACGTTATGAGGCCAAGGAGGATGGATTTCAGGCTGGTGGTGGCTCTTTACATTCAATAATGACACCGCATGGACCCGATACAAATTGTTTTGAAAGTGCTTCTAATTCGAAACTGGGACCCGAACGTATTGCCGAAGGAACTCAGGCGTTTATGTTTGAAACTTATTACAGCATGACAATAACGAAATGGGGTGGAAAAAATTGCAAAAAGATTGATTCCAATTACAATAAGTGTTGGGAGGATTTGAAAAAAAAATTTGAACCAACTCAAAAATCTTGATCTCATGCAGGCTTCGCACTAATTTACGAAAATAAAAATTTACCAATTTTTTAACGATTTCCTACTATTTGGATAATTTAATTTGCATTTGTTTTCTAATTCTTTTAATAAGTTTTCTTTTTAAATATTTTCAATTTTAAAGTTAATTTATTGAAAATCATTTAATTATTGCAAAGAATTTAATTAAAAAAATTGAGAATAATTGAATTGTTTCAAAGGATTTATTAAAATTTTAGAAAATAATTGAATTCTTCGGGAAATTGTATCAAAATTTTGTTGAAAACAATTGAATTTTTCTGAAAAATTTTATTACTTATGAAAATAATCGAATTTTTCAGAAGAGTTATATTAAAATTTTAAAGTAGTATGCTAGTAAAAATTTCTGATTAGAAACATTGTAGTAGGAATTTTAAGAAATAATGAAATTTCAAGAGAATTTTAAATGGAAATCTTTGGAAATTGTAATTACTGTTAAAAAATCAATTATTAACTATTGAAGTGGTTAATTATTATTATTTATTGTTTTCAAAAATTTTAATAAGATTCTTTAAAACAATTCAACTATGTATTTTAAAAAAAAATTTTAATAAATTTCTCCACCAAAATTGAATTATTTTCGAATATTTTTGTTCTGTATAAGAATTTAATTATTTTCAATAAACTTTCATGATGGACTCCAATTATTTTTTCAGGTTTACTAAAATTATTCGCAGAAATTCAATTATTTTCAAAAAAAAAGTTTAGTAAAATTCTACAAATTAGATTTTCTTAAAAATTTTAATAAATTTCTTCTCAAGAATTCAATTATTTTCTTAACTAAAGGAAAAATAAAAAATAGTTATACCTAGATGCAATTTTTAGAATAAATTAATCAATTATATTATCAATTATTTCTTTTGTATTTAAATAATTGAATTATCGTAGAAATTTCTGATACGAATTAAATTAAAAATTAATTTCAGTTGAGATTTTGGAAAATCAGGGTTCTATTTTTTATTTTTCTATAAAATTATTAAAGTTTTGAACAATTTTACTTAAAAATTCCAAAAGTAATTTAATATTTTAGAAAGTTAATAATTCTTGTGTTCACAATTTGCTTTTACAATTTTTATAAATAATTGAATTTCAAAAGATTTCAAATGGAAATTTAAGAAAATTTTAATTAAAAATTGTAAAGAATTTAGTTGTTTGATTCAATTAAATTGTAATTTAGTTAGAATTATATTCAATTTATTTCGAATCATAGTTTAAAATTTGTAGAAACAAGTTTTTAAAAAAAAAAAAAATTTTATAAATGATCGAATTTTAAAAATGTTTTCAATTTAAATCTTTGAGAATCTTTGTCGATAAAATTATAATTATTTAAATAAATTTATTTTTAAACATTGTTATTTTATTACTTTCCTAAAAAATAATTAAAGTTTTGAATAATTTAATTTATAAATTCTAAGAAAAGAATTGAATTTTTGAAAGAATTGTAATTGTAATTTTTAGAAATAATTTAAATTCCATAAAAATTTCAAATTATTTTAATTCTCGTTGAAAAATAAATAACAATTGAATTTAATTACTTAAATTAGTTATTTTGACAAAATTTATTGTTTTTAAATAATTTAATTTAGAAATTCTGAAAAAATGAGGTTGCATGTTGAAAAATTGTACAATTTAAATTTTTTGAAGAGAGTTGAATTCCTGAAAATAATTTTAAAAAATCGAAACATTTAGAAATTTTGTCAAATGTTATTGAAATAAATTTTAGTCGTTAAATTTAACTATTGAATTTTTTTTAAGAAAGTCCTTTTTACAGTAGTAATATACATTATAATAATCGTAAGTTTCCTTTCCGTTAGCAAATTATCTGCATTCATTTGTTTGTTTTGAAAATTAAATTTTGTGGGTTAAGTATTGGCATTTTTTATATTTTTTAATGTCAAACTTTTTAATGTGTTTTGATGTGTTTCAATGGTTATGTTTTATATTATTTTGTGTTTAATTCAATTTTTAACTTTTCAACTATCATTCATTCTGAAGGTAAATACTTTTTTATAATTTAATTTAATGTATATAATTTAATGTTAACATTATTTCAATATTATTAAAAAAAGTTATTTGATATAATTTACATTCAATTGAATTATATTTTTTTTAATTTCTTAATTACAGAATATTTAGTTTTTTAACTTTTTAATAATTTTTTAACTTGCAAAATGCTAAATAATGTAATTGTTAAAAATATAATATTTATTTTTCATAATTTTTGACAGATATAATTATTATTTGAAATAATTACTATATTATTAAAGACTACAACATAAATTTAAGTTATCAAAGTATATTTTACAAAATAGTAATTTAATACAATTTTTATTTCTTATAATTTCTATAACATAAAAATATTGTTTAATATAATGTTAATTTTATAAACTTTTAACATTTTTTAATGTTTAAAATTAATACGTGATTCACAGAATATTCAACTAATCAATGAAAATATATTGTCAATTTTTTCAATTAAAAATATATTACATCAAAAGCTTTTCTCTATATTTAAATAATGTTAACATTAAATTATGGACACATACCTGCCGAGTAAATGATAATTATAAAGTTAAAAATTCAATGAAACAACCAATGTATAGAATTAAAATTTTGGGGCTATGGTACGCCTAAAATTCACCTGGCATTTTTTTCGTTGTTTCTAAAAACGAATTTAGAATTTTTTTAATTTGATGCTTCATTATATTATATTACATCTTGTAATTAAATAATTAATGCAAGTTATAATTAGTATTTTTACTACAGATTTTTTGTTTTCCAAAGAAATTAGAATTAAAAGTTCATGTTTAACTTTATCATTTTCATTTAATTTAATATTTTGCAGTTATGTTAGATTCGAAAGATACGGAATTCTTTGTTTAAAAAGCTAAATGAATAATTATTTTTTTAATTTTTAGAATAATTAAAAGTTTCGTTATCAAAATTATTTTTAATTTTTAAATTATTTTGAAAATAAAAGTATAAAATATGTAACAATTTTTGCGATATTCAATTTTCTTCGTACAACAAGAAAGTTTAACAGCAGTAATAGCATTTTAACAAAATTTATCGGATTCACTTGTAATTCGTTTCTAATGCGTTAAATTTGACATTAAATTTTAGAAATTCAAAATAGAACTTCCTTTTCAGGATTCCTACAGAAATCCGAATTTAAAATTCCATACCTTTTCGATGATTTCCAGGTCAAATTTTTACGAAATTCCAGTGGAATTTTAAATCTAATTTCAATATTTTTGGGCTCTTTAAAAACACTCTTTGTTATTATAACTTCGTAGATATATACTCAATAAATTTGATTCCTAATTATATGATTAATAGTTACTCGATTTTATTTATTTAACAATAATATGTTTACTCTTTTTCAGTTATCTAAAAACTTTAAAATTCTTTTTTACTTTTTCAAATATTTAAATATATGGCGCCATGTCACGTGACTTTGTTTTTGACAGGAGTGTTTTTTAGGTTATGTTAGACGCACTTTCTTGAAATTTTGCACGTTTTGCACTGTTTTTGGCGTTTTTGTTATAAGTCTCGGAAGTCTTTTAGATCTTTTCGTTTCAAGTCTTTTTCTTTCAAGAACAAAGTTATTAGTAAGAGTATTAAATATATTTTCTATAGTAATAATTAAAATTTATCGAAGTTTGATTACTTTGGAAAAGCAACAACGACTTTGAATAAGGAATCACGAAGGAATTTGAAAACTGTTGTTTTAAAAAATGTTTGAAGCCAGTGGAGATTTTGATGATGAAGAATTGCAGGAGGATGAAGAAGAACTTTTAGTTTACGTAGAATTTCCAAATTGTGACGAAAATAGCATGTTTGGTACGGAGAGACTGAAACTTGATATACTTGGAATTGACACTGAGACACCAATAATACAAGTTAATGGAAAAGTAAGTCTCCCTTTTTGAATAACGTTTTCTCTATCTTTTATTGTGTTTTTTTATCTTTTTAATATTTTTCTCACAGTTTTTCGAGGGCGTTTATGAAGATGCTGTCGGTACTTATATGTTTTTCGAAAAGGACAATACTATCAGTGTTGACGATCCTGTTTTTGAAGTTGCACCAACTCTCAGATATTTGACGAAAAGTAGAAAATTGTTAAAAATGCAGAGAGTATTCATTGCACCCAGAACAGAAGTTTTAGGCAATTCTGTACACAATGAATCTTTACCGAATATTGAGACGATAATAGAGGCTGGAGTTCCTCCCAAGTACCAGGACGAAGGTTATAATCATATTTTATTGTTTTTCATTTATTTATTTATTTATTTAAGTATAGTAAACGGGACTATAATCTTCTATTTTCTATATTAAGGGGAGACTTATCGACTACATTTTTAACTATATCAAGAAAATTATTTAAATCATCCTACATAAAATTATTTTTATAGTAATTTTTTGAGAGGAAATCAATGGTAAAAAAATATTCTGACCCTTTTTGGATTTTTATATTTTATAAAAATCAATTTTTTCATTCGGAAATATTTTTTTAGATACAAAAAAACATATTTTTTAGAACATTACGGATGGATTTGAAAATCTATCAATTTTTAAGAAAAATAAAGATCCAAAAAGGGTCAGAACATTTTCTGACCGATTTTATTTTTTGACCATTGATTTCCTCTCAAAAAATTACTATAAAATTAAAAATAATTTTATGGAAGATTTAAATCATTTTCTTGATAAAATGTAGTCGAAGTTTCCTCTTAATAATCGTTGAATACCGAAAATCTGTTCGTAGTTTGAAATTAGTTATTTGTTTTTTTGTTTCCTAACTTTTTTAATAATTTTTCTTTCAAAATGTTTTCAATTTTAAAATTAATGTAGGTATTCAAAATTATTGAATTCGTGCAAAGAATTTTATCAAAAATATTTGAAAATAATTGAATTCCATCGAAGAATTTTTTTAAAATTGTATTAAAAGTAATTTAATTCTCTCGAAGATTTTTATTATTTATGAACATAATTTAATTTTTTTTAAATAATAGTTTTTTTTAATATATTTTAAATGAAAATTTTGAAAGTAATTGAATTTCAAGAAGAATTTCTTTAAAGTTTTTTAAAGAATCGTGATAGTTAATAATTGTAATTAAACATTTGATTATTGAACTTTATTAAGATTTTTAGAAAATAATTAACTTCTCAAAATTTTATTATAATTTTTTTAAATAATTCAATTCAAAGAATTCACGGAATGTTATTACAATATTCAAAATAGAGGTCTTTCAAAGAATTTCTTTAATTTTTTTAATATAATCGATTTTGTTAATAATTTAATTAGTAATAATAATTATTTTATTATAAAATTTCATTAAAATTATTGATAGAAAATTAAATACATTTGAACAATTTTATTAGATTTTTCGTAAATAATTAAATTTTTTTTGGTTTTTTAAAAATAATGTAGTTTTTTAAATAATTGTGATGGAAAATTTTGAAAGAAATTGAATTTCACAAAGAATTTCTTTCAAGTTTTTAAAATAATTGTGTTTGTTAATAATAGGAATTGAAAAAATTGATTATTGTATTTTATTAAAATTTGTTCGGAAATAATTGGATCCTTCAGAAAAATTTTATTACAATTTTTAAAAATAAATGAATCCTTTCGAGAAATTGTATTAAAATTGTTTTGAATATAATTAAATCCCTGAGAAGAATTTTTTGTTCATAAAAAAATTTTAATTTTTTGCATTCAATTTTACTATTTATAAAAATAATTAAATTTTTTCGAAGAATTTTATTAAAATTGTATTGAAATAATTGAATTCCTGCGAAGAATTTTACTATTTTTGAAAATAATTGAATTTTTCTGAAGAATTTTATTATTTCTGGAAATAATTTTATTAAAATATTTGAAAATAATAAACAATAATAATTAATTAGTAAATTTGTTAATATAATTAAATTTTTTTAATTTTTCAAAAATATTGAAGTTGATAGGGTAAATGCACTAGTAGTCGGACACTTAAGGATACAATCTTAAATTATGCTTCTTTTCTTGAAATAGCAAATATCTACTGTGTTTATAAGCACATTATTAATTAAAGGAGTTCTTCAGGATTAAAAATCATATAAATTTGTTACAAATAGTTAAGTATTTAATAAAATATAAACATTTTAATAAAAAATTACGAATGCTTTAGTAGTCGGACACTTTTTCCCCTTGTTTCTATAGTCGGACATCTGTCAGATATTTTGAATTTATAAAGTAAAAAAGATAATTTTTTAATTGCTATCTGCTGGAAAATGGAATTAAAGCATATTAGAAGTTATTAATATAATATTTAAACCCTATAAGTTTTAATATTTATGATTAACTATCAACAAAACTTTGTGCCACTCATCGCGCTACTCGAAAATGGTTGTATCTATAGTCGGACACCATGATTTTTAAAGCATTAAATAAAATATTTCTTGTTTAATTATTTTCGAAAATAACACTATTTTAATAAAATATAAACTTCACACATTCGTCTAGTATACTTTTTAAAGCAATTATCACAATGCATTATTATTTATTTGTCAAAAAACACGAAAGTGTCCGACTACTAGTACTGTCCGACTATACCCGCACTTACCCTATTTGAAAATAAAAAATTTTGTAATTTGCATTTAATACAAATTTAATAATAAATTGAATATTATTGCGTTTCGCGCTTAACATTTGTTGTACAATAATATTGACATTGTTATTATTTTTAGCGCTAGCCTTTTGGACAGATGCGAGAGCTGAAAGAATCGATATATTAAATAATTACATCGAAAAACAACGAATTCGTAGGGAGAAAAGATCACGTGGCATTAGTCCTGTTTCCGAATCAGACGAAGATAATCCATTTATGTTCACATTACCTCAAAATAACGGAGAAGAAGAGGAAGAAGAAGAACCCGATGAAGTACTCGATGGAGAAGATAGATTAATCGAAGAAGAAGAAGAGGAGGAAAATCTTTCCGATTGTAATCCAGAACTAAACGAATTTGAACGCTTTGTGGAAAATTCTGCCGAGCAACCTTCAGATTATCATGAGGATGAAATTGATGAACCCCAACCATCGACATCGAGAGAATTTAAACCGTTTATCGGTCCTGGAAAAACTGTCACTCGTAATAAAGGTATCGTAAAAGTGAAAGGCGCAAGAAAAAAAAATATTGACAAAAATCAAAAGACTGTCGATAAAAAGAAGCAATTACATAAAGAGACTTTAGAAATGGACCAAACTAATCAAGAATTAATGTACGAAAATTTCCCCCAAACCGAAAGTGTTAACGAATCTGAAGTTGAAGAATTTATCACCGATGAAATTCACACCGAACATAGTCGAACGATAAAAAGGGAATTTACATCAACAGCCGATAAAAAATTACAAAAGAAAGAAAAACGCGAAGCGAAAATGAAAGAAATATCCGAACAGTTGAGAAAGATGAGCGGAATTACTCAGGAAGAGGAGGAAGAGGAAGAAGAGGAAATGATTATATAAGGGAAAACTTCATAAAAAAAATCTATTTTATTTAAATAAAAGTACTGCAAGATGATCAGCTGCTTCCTTTACCAAAAATTCCTATATCAATTTACCGTATTCAGTAAGTACAATATTGATCCAAGAACAAATTTACATCCTGCTTTTTAAAATTGTTTCTCAATCATTAAAAATTATCAAAAAATATTTTTTCTTCTAACATTAAAATTATTATATTTTCTTTAAAAAAAAATTGTCTAAATTGAAAATTTGATAAATCTCTATGAGCAACGAGACACAAGCATTTGAAAAAATAGAGAACAAGTTGAACTTGTTTTTTCTCTCTCATTTAAATTAGGAATGTTCCCGAATGAAATTGAGTCCTCACCAACCCAAGTCGCCTGGTAATTCATCGGGATATTCGCCGGTCAAACAAGCAGTGCAGTGACCGATGTAACTACTTTCTCGATTATCCATTCCGTGTCTGACAGCGTCAACGAGACCGTCAACTGAAAGATATGTTAAACTATCAGCGCCGACGTGTTTCGCCAATTTCACGCTGTCCAATTTATTTGCAATTAATTCCTCTCTCGTGGGAATATTTATTCCCATATAGCAGGGATACTTCAGAGGCGGTGAAGCAATTCTTATATGGACCTAGAAATGAGTCAGTTTAATTAATTTTTGATTAATTTAGAATTGAAAATTTAATTTCATTAGAAAAGTGAATTAATTTTGAATACCTGGAATTATAACTTATCTTCAAAAAATTCAATTACTTTCAATTTCATTTCGTGAAATTGAATTAATTCAAAATTTTACTTCAATTCTTCAGTCCCGTAAAATTGAATTACTTTTATTTCGCAAAATGTAATAAATTTTGATAAAAATTATTTTGAAATAATTTTAATTTTATTTTGTAAAATTGAAATTATCAAAAATTTTACTTCAATTCCGTAAAATTGAATAAATTTTATTTTAATTTCGTAAAATGGAATTAATTGTCATTGAAATTAAAATTTATAATTCAGTTCAGTTATTTTGAATTATTTTTAAATAATTTTAATGATATATTTTGTAGTTAATTTAATTAATCTTAATTTAAAATCAAAAATTTAATTCTAATTGAATGTATAAAATTGAATTAATTAAAAATTTTACTTTAACTTCGTGGAATTGAATTTATCCAAAATTTTATATCAATTGCGTGAAATTGAATTAATTTCTATTCAATTTCCTGAAATTGAATTAATTCAAAATTTTACTTTAACTCCGTAAAACTGAATTAATTTTATTTCGCAAAATGTAATTAATTTTAAAACAAATTCAATTCAATTTAAATAAATTGAATTATTTTGAAATAATTTTAATTTAATTTTATAATATTGAATCAATTTTAAATTTATTTCGTCAAATGGAATTAATTTTAATTTTAATGCAAAACTTTTTAATAGAATATTTTAAATTTTAATTGAAAATTTTACTTTAATTTCGTGAAATAAAGTTTATTTAAAATTTTACCTTAATTCCGTAAAATTGAATTCATTTTAATTTACTTAAATTGAAACTTTTAATTAATTTTAATTACATTTAGTAAAATTTAATTACTTCGATTAAATTTTATTTTAATTTCTTCAATGGAATTAATTTACATTTAAATTCAGATCTTTTTAATTCAATATGTCAAATTTCAATTGAAAATTTTACTTTAATTTCAAAAAATTTGTGAAATTCAAAAATTTTACATCAACTCTGTAAAACTGAAATAATTTTATTTTTATTTCACAAAAGATTGAAATAATTTTAATTTAGTTTTGTAAAATTGAATTATTTTTATTTAATTATAATTTAATTTCGTAAAAGTGAATATGTTTAATATATTTTTGTAAAATTGAATTAATTAAAAATTATACTTAAATTTTGTAAAATTGAATTAGTTTAAAATGTTGCTTCAATTTTGTAAAATTAAATTACTTAATTTAAATTCAGTACCTATTTTAATTTAATTTCGTAAAATTAAATTAGTTTTGAATAAATTAGAACTTAACTTCGAAAAATTGAATAAATTTTAATTTAATTTTTAAAAATGGAATTCGATTTAATTTTGTAAAATTGCATAAATTTTAATTGATTTTCGTAAAATTGAATTAGTTTTGATTTAATTTCATACAATTCAATTAATTTTTAATTCAAAGTCATTTATTTTCTTAAAATTGAATTAATTAAAATTTTCAACTTAATTTCGTAGAAAATTAACTAATTAACTAATTAATTAATCACTCCTTGACTCGGAGTGATCGTTAATTTTCACTATTTATTAAAACACGACTGAGTGATAGAATCATCTCTACTCTTATTAATTTCGTAGAATTGAATTAATTTAATATTTCAATTTAATTTCGTTGAATTGAATTATTTTGAATTAACTTTATATTAATTTCATAAAATTGAATAAAATTTTTAATTAATTATAATTCAATTTCGTAATATTGGATTAATTTCAATTTAATTTCGTAAAATTTCTGTGTATTTACCTCTTTTGCTCCAGCGTCTCGAAGCAGTTTGATAATTGGACCAATGGTGTTTCCTCGGACAATTGAGTCGTCGATTAAAATCAATTTTTTGCCTTTGACATTTTCAGACAAGGCACCGAATTTTTTCGCCACTCCCAATTGTCTTAATCGTGTGCTTGGCTGAATAAACGTTCTGCCAACGTATCGATTTTTGCAAAGAACTTCTGCAAAAGGAATTTGTGACTGCAAAAAATTAATGCAATTTTAGAATATTTTCTTTTAACATTTTCTTGACTTATAGGCCATTTTTTTTTCTTTTCTTTAGCGGGAAGAAAAAGAAACAAACCTGTCTTGCATAACCGTGTGCTGCAGCTGTTCCCGATTCGGGAACCGAACTGACAATATCGGCCACGACAGGAGATTCTAGGGCTAAAACTCTTCCACATTGCATTCGAACTGAATAGACCATTTGACCTGAAATCGAAAATTTTTCTTTTAAGTTCTCTTCTTTTTTAAATTAAAAAATAACTAAAAACTGAAAAATTTCAAACTAAAAAGAACTATTTTTCTAACAATTAGTTTAGAATGAAACAAATATTTTTTTGGTTAAATTCCTTTTCTAAACTAAAGAAATAAGTAAAGACTAAAAAAATTCTATTACTGAAAAGAACTAATTTTTCGGAATTTGCATCAGAAAATCTAATTTAGAAAAAATATTTTTTTGTATATTTATTAATTTTCAAATTAATAAAATAGTTTTTTGTTTTCAGACGAGACGAAGAGGATTACCTTCGAAAATACTATCGCTTCTGGCAAAGTAAACGTATTCAAAGATGCAAAATGCCTGGGGTTTTTTGTCAGGCCTCTCAATGATGTCAATTGTCTTGATGCCTTCTCGTGTTAATTCAACAATTTCACCGGGAAATACTTCTCGAACGTATCGTGCGCCAATGCTGAGGAAACCACACGATTCTGATGAAATTACCCAACCTTCGGCATCGTTTTCCTCGTCGGAATCGTTACCTAGTTTTGTTTTGATTTTTGGAATGGTGAGTATTATTTTTTATTTTTTTATATGATAATTTTTTTTATTTTTTTTCTTACCTAGATTACCAACGGGGACAATTTTTCCCAAACAAAGAGGTCGATTTCCATAGGGATCGCGAACACCGTAAATCTTATCCCTCTGCATTATGACGAGCGAATAAGAAAGTGGTGCCAATTGCATTAAATGTTTAATTCTCGCTGGCCAGTCGGGTCCATTTAATTCACCCTCAGGTGGATTGAGGCACAATGCTTGTGTGATTAATTCCGAATCTGAATGCGTTGAGAGACCGACTCCTCGGCCCAAAACCTATTTTGAGAATTTCATCTTTTATTCTAGTTTGATTTTCATTTTTTTGGAAAAACTGATTTGAAAAAATTATTTTTCCAAAGGATCTTCTTTTTTAGGATTTCATTTATTTTGTTTTGTTTTAATAGTGTAAGCCTAGGATAGTTTGACTTTTTCGACTATTTTCGAAAAATATGACTTTTTCGACTTATTTTGATAAAAAGTGACTTTTCCGACTTTTCTTCAAAATATTCCTCCAAAAATTATAAAATATTTTTAAAAAAAGGAATTTTTAGAATTTTTTCATTATATTTTTTTGAAATTCAATTATTTTCAATTATGTATGTATTTCCAAAAATTCAAATCTCTAAATACAAAAACTAATTACATTATAATTTTAAAAAACAATTTTTTTTGAATTATTAGTACAATTTTTGAGAAGTCAATTATTTTTAAAAAATTTAATTACAATACTTCCAAAAATTGATTAGTTTTTAAATTGTCAATAATTCTTTAAAGAAATTCAATTATTTTCGAAAAATGACATTACAATATTTTTAAAAAACTAATTTTTAGAATTTTTTTATCATCATTTTTTAAAATTCAATTGTCTTTAAAAAATTTTAATTCAAATATTTTTAAAAATCTAATATTTTTAAAATTATTATTCATATTTTGGAGAATCTAATCATTTTCAAAATGTTTAATCAAAATTCTGCAAAAAAAATTGATTAGTTTTTTAAAGTATCAAAAAATTCATATAAGAAAAAGAAATTCAATTATTTTTGAAAAATTTATTTATAAAAAACCATTTTTTCAATCATAATTTCTTAAAATTCAATTATTTTCAAAAATTTTAAATTAAACTATTTTAAAAATCTAATTTTTTGGAATCTTATTAAAATTTTGGAGAATCTAGTCATTTTTAAATTTCATATTAAAACTCTTTAATATTATTCATTTCTTTAAATTGACAAAAATTCTTTTAAGAAATTCAATTTTTTTTTAAAAATTACATTACGAGATTTTGAAACACTAATTTGTAGAAAAACTTATTATTTTTGGTTACAAACTTTCTATAATTCATCTTAATAGCTTTTTAAATAAATCATAAAGTGTTTAATTTGCAATTTTTATAAAAAATATGAATTCTTGTATCTAAATAATGTAATTCTCGACAATTTTTCGAAAAATTATTTAAAATAATTTATTTTGAGAAGAAGTTTATAGTTAAAAATTCTTGAAAATAATTGAATTTTAAACAAATTAACAATAACTTTCGAATAATTGAAATTCAGTAATATTGAATTGAAAACAATTGCGAATGTTATACTTAAGTGAACTTTCTTTGTTTTATAACTATACTCTCGATAAACTTTCTTAAAATTATTACAGTTAATTAATTTTGGGTTAAACTTATAGAAAATAACTGAATTTTGAAGAAGTTATAGTAGCAATTTTTAGAAATAATTAAATTTCGAAAGATTTCTGCATGCAAACTATTGAAAATTTAAATTTCAAGTTTCTTTAAATCAAAAATTCTAAATGTAACTTCATTTTTGAAAAATTCTAGTTCAAATTCCTTTGAAATTAGTTCAATTTTTAAAAATATATAATTTAATTAATAAAAAAAACTTTCGATTAATCGAAATTGGTAAAAATTTAAATTTGAAGTTTCTTTTCAAAATTCTCAAGAACTTGGTTTTTGAACAAAACAAATAATCGAAATTTCGTAATATTCATTTAAAAATAGTCGAATTATAGACGAATTTTAAGTGAACCTTCTTTTTTTAATTTAATTAAACTCTTGAAGAACTTTCTCAAGATTGTTAAAAGAATAATTGAATTTTGAATAAATTTAGTTGAAAATTCTTGAAAATAATTTAATTTCGAAGTTATGGTATCAATTTTTAGAAATATTAAAATTTTAGAAGGTTTCAAATTGAATTTTATTTGAAAATTTCAACTAATTGTATTCAATAATACTAATCTTTAAATACTTGTTTTAAAAAATTATTAAACTTTTGAATAAATTTGGTTACAAGTTTCTAGAAATAGAAAATCAAAATTATTAAAAATAATAATTGATCTAAAGATGATTTTTTCAGTAAAAAAATTCTGGAAAATAATTGAATTTTTAATAAATTTAGTAGAAAGTTCCCTGAAAATAATTGAATTTCAATCAAATCAATAAAATTTTCTTTGACTTTTTTCGACTTTTTTTCTACTTTAAATTCTACTGAAACGACTTAAATTTTTTACGCCTTAAAGTCAATCCGAGGCCTGAATTTATTGACGTTGTGTCGAATTATTTTCTCACCATTTTTCTCAAAGATTCAGTATTGACGAGTTCACCATTGTGAGCAACTGCCAATGCACCATGAGCTGTGTGAACAACAAATGGTTGACAATTAACTTCTTCACTCGCCGCACTCGTACTATATCTTGTGTGACCAATTCCTAAATTTCCTCGCAACTTTTTCATACTGTCATCATTGAAAATATTATTTATCATTCCCATTCCCTTGTGAACGTGAAATGATTTTGCGCAAACACCCTCGCTCGTTACAATTCCTGCACTTTCCTGTCCTCTATGCTGCAGGGCCACCAAACCTGAAATTACAATTAAAATCCTTAGTAGAATTCTCAATATTCTTCATATTAGCTATTTGCATTTTTTTTATCTTTATTAAAAGTGTAAATAAATAATAGACCAAAATTTACACTTGTTATGAAGATAGAGTGAAAATTTTTGAGATTTCTTATCTTTCGTGAACTTTGAACAATTATCAAAAATGATCGAATTTTTAATTGGTTCGAAAATCGATATTTTAATAATTATAATTTTAATCAATTAAAAAGTGAATTTAATTTAAAAGTATTTGAAAATCACTAGAAATTGGTATTTTTCATATCTATTTCAATTCAAAAAAATTTCGATTGTCGATTGTCGATTGCAAAAATTTCCAAATTTCTCTCGTGTGCGGAGAATTTGAGGAAAAAACTCACCGAGACAAACAACTTGACCAACATCAATTGATGATGGCCAATCGCCGGCAGCAATGCAGCCAAAAACTCCACATTCATGTGTTAATCCTGTTCCTCGTTGCCCTCTTGTTTCACCTTTACTTCGTCTTTGTCTCACTTTTACTGTATCAATCATTAATCTCGAAATTCCATCTGAACAGGTTTCAATTTTATTATCGCTGGACATATTTTTATTTTACTATTGAAACAATTTATCTGAAACAAATGCAAAAAAAAAGAAAAGAATTAAATTTTAACAATTTTCAAAATTTTGTTTTCGACTTTTTTCTTTCTTTCATTAACTACGAGAGAAACTTTTCCGTAATTTTCCGTATATATTCATACAAAATATACTTTAGTAATGTAGAAAAAATACTGATGTGAATCTTGTTAATGACGAAATTTTAATAAGGTCAAAGAACATGGGATAAGCTTGAAATTGAGTCGAATCTTAGATATATTTAGTCAGAAATGCAGATAATAGTAGATAATTTAATAATTGCAGGCAATGATAAACCTTGAGAGAAGCAAATATTTTTTTATTCAGAAAAAATTGAAAAAAATTTTCAAATTTATTTTTATTTACATTTAAAAAAATCTGGATTTTTTATTTCTTTTCAAAATTCAGTAATTTGGAATTTACCAATTAAAAATTTTTTTTAATATTAAAGTTAGTAAGAAAATATATAAATATTAAAAAAATAGTATTTTTTACATGAACTTTATTTTGATACTCTACTTATATTTAATTCTGTTTATTTAATTATTTTATATTTTATTTTAATTAATAAGAATATTCAATCAATTATTAGACTTTATGTCTTTTTCTATGTAAAATAAAAAAATAACTCCAAAGAATTTTATGATTTATGAAAATAATTCCGTTCTTGCGACGAATAATATTAGAAAATTTTTTTAAAATAATTGAATTCAATTAGGGAAAAAATTCAAATTCTTTCGAGGAATTTAATTAAAATTTTATTGTACTGAAAATAATTCAACTCTTCGAATGAATTTTATAACAAAATTTTCAAAATAATTGAATTCTTGTTAAGAATTTTATTAAAAATTAATTTTCGAAAATTAATTGAATAACGCCAAGAAATTTGATTGAAAATAATAAATTCAATTCTTCTAAAGAGTTTTATAAAATAATTTTTAAAATAATTGAATTCTTGTTAAGAATTTTAATTGAATAACGCCAAGAAAGTTGATTGAAAATAATTGAATTCCCGCGAAGAATTTTATTATTTATAAAAATAATTGAATTCTCGACAAAAATATTATATTTAAATTTTTGAAAATAATTTAATTGTTTCAAAGAAAATAAAAATTTTTACGAAGAATTTAGTTAAAATTCTGTTGAAGATAATTGAATTTTATTTTTATTATGAAAATAATCTAAGTCTCTTGCGATGAATTTTACTAAAATTATTGACAAAAAATTGAATTTTTTTGATGATTTTTTATTAAAAACTTTTGAATATATAATTGAATTCTTTTAAGAAATTTTTTTAAAAATGTATTGAAACTAATTTTATTTTAATAAATAAATTCTATCTAAATTTTTGAAAATAATTAAATTTTTTCAAAGAATTTTATTATTTACGAAGATAATTCAATTCTTACAAAGAATTATATTAAAATTTATGAAAATTGTTGAATTTAAAGAAAGAATTTTATTAAAGATTCGAAAATAATTAAATTCCTGCAAAGAATTCAATTATTTAATAAAATAATTGAATTTTTGAAAAGAAATTTATTACAATTTAAAAAAAAAATTGAAGTCTTTCAAATGATTTATTAAAATGTTTAAAAATAATTGAATTCCTGTAAAGAATTTTTTTCTTATCTATGAAAGTAATTGAATTTCTGAGAAGAATTTTATTATTTATGAAAATAATTGTATTCTCACAGAAGAACTTTAATTAAAATTTTCGAAAATAATAAATAATAATTATTTACTACATAAGTGAATTTTTCTAAATTTTGAATCTAAAATCATTTAAAAATAGTTAATATTTGAAAATAAATTAATAATAATATTTTTTCTTTTGTAAGCCCGTTTATACGAATAAATAAATAAATAAAAAATTAAAACATCAAAATATGTGAATAACAATAATAATAAAATATAATAAAAATATTCAATTTTTTGTTAATATTTAAGTAAAAAAAAATTATTTTAATCTTATGAATAATTAAATTTCTATTATTAAAAATATATTTGCAATTTTTCGAAATTTTACAACAAAAAAAGGAATGTTTTGTTAATATTTATTGAGAGACCCCCAAGAGACAATTTCAATAAACATTATCAGTTTTGTTCCTATGAACTATTGACTTCATGATTGATTAAAGAAATTGTTTATTTATTGTTTACGATAATTTTATAGATCAGGATTCCCTAGTCAGTTTGATTTTGCAACAAGTTTCGTCATTCGATATAGGGACCTATATAAATTAACAAAAATATTAGAAATAATAATATACTGTTTTTGTTTATTCTTTAAAAACAAAAAAATTTGTTTATTTGTCTCCCATTAATTATATGCGTAAATAATTATTGTTTTGTAAGAATAGAAAAGCAAACAAATGTAAAATTTAAAAAATAATTATTTAAACAATAATATCATAATCGATAGTGACGTAAATATTTATTTTCTCTATTTTTCATAAATTAGTGTCAAACATTTTTTTATTCAAATTGTAAATTAAATTATGGGAATTATTTTTGAAAAATGAATCTAAAAAATTAGACATTTCCATTAATTTCTATTAATTTCCATTAATTTCTATTTTTAATTTTCTTTATTATTAAAATTTTTATTAATTAATAGAACTTAATGGAAATTTTTAGAAATGAATAGAAATTAACATTTCTAATTGTTGAGACTGTGTTCTCTTTTCTTAAAAATATTCCGCAGAGCAATTTGTAAGTTTATTGTTAATTTAGACAGTGGTTTTAAATTTTGCATAACGTTATAATAACATATCATATTTCTAGTTTTTATTATCAAAGTTTAGTGCTGAATTGAAGTAGATAATGGAAAAAATAAATCTAAAAGCAATTTCAATGTACATACTCTTATGACGAAAAGCAGAAATAGTTTATCAGATTTACTTTTGAATAGTTTTTTTATTGCTAAACTACTTGATAATATTAATAATTAATTCAATTACAACCGAATGTATCAATTATTAGTTTATTTAATAATTTTTAGATGAAAAATTACATTATCTTCAAATTTATTACCATCTTTATTTATTTACTTGTTCATTTATTTTTTAATTATGACAAAATATTTATAATATTTTTTTTACAATTATGACAATTATCTATAAAATACAATAATTTGTATTCAATTTTTACTAAAAATCGATTTATTATAAAAATTTATTTTCCATTGTTTACTTATTGATTAAAACAATATTGGTAAAAAATTATAACAATTATAAAATGTTTTGTAGATATAATTTAAAATTTAATAAGTTTATAAATTTAATTTTTACTAAGACTTGATTTATTATAAAAATTTATTCTCCATTTTTTAGTTGATAAAAATAGCTAGTCAAAAATGATCTAAAAATAGATAATTTTATCAGAAGGAAAAAATGAAATGCAGGGAAAAAACCCCAAATGTAAATGAGTTCTAGTAAATGAGAAAAATTTTAGAAAACAAAATTACCTATAGGTCGTGTTGGCTTTTTAAATATTACACAAATGAGAACGAGAATTTTATTTCCAAATGTATTCAATTAAAATTTTATTAAGTCAATTGAAAAATGTTAAAAGTAATCAGTGATGGAATTTTTTTTCGCCACTGTGTCCAATTAGATCAATTATTATTGAGAAAAAGAAAAGATGCCCTTTTGACATACACACGACAATATTTCTAATCTCTGCTCCAAAAAAAATAATTTTCAGAGATAATTTAATTTTAAACAGAGCCGAATTTTCTTTTAATATGGCAACAAAAAAAATGAAAAGTTGTACATTTACTTACTATTTTTGTTTGTTTATTAAGAAGTTGTTGAAATTTTTGTTTTCTTTTTTCAGTATTACTCACCACGTGTTACGAGTTCGTTGTCGTCAACGTAATAGAATCTTTCACCACACACTATTTCTCTCTCGAACGATGCGTAATAACTGACTGAGTTCTCAAGATTGAATGAATAATCCGACCAATGGAAAGAGGCTTTTGAATGAAAGGGCAGTTTCGGAATTTTATATACCTTCTCTTCTTTTTTTTTTACTCTCTGGTTGTGAGCAGATTGCGAGTGGCGAATCAAGAGCAGTTACAGAAAACTAATTTCGTACATTTTTACATTTTTGTTTTTAATGTACGAAAAATGTCTAATTTTTAGCTTTTTGGTTTTTAGGTTTCGTTTCTTTTATAGGTTTGGAAATTAATTTTTCATCTTTAGAAAACCACTGAAAGACTTTTCACTGTCTTGTATCGCTTAGAATTTTGAATCATGGAACCATGAATGCATGGAACTAAAAATCAAAAATGATTATTACTCAAATGCTGTCGAACTAGTCAAGGTCAAGGGAAAGTGAGACTCGTTTTTCTAGTTTTTGCCGAATTTTTTTGGGGACCCTAAATATTCTATTTTGTCCAGATTCTACTTTCTATTATTTAAGTTTGTTTTCTACTCTATTTGTTTAGTTTTCTATTATTTGATTTGAATTTTTTTCGTCGTATCTAGTTCGTATTTGTTTTAATTCGATTTAAGATTTTTCACATTATCTATGGACAGTTGTTGGTTTTGATTTATATTGCGTGTTTTCAGATAAGAAAATCAAGCGGAGGAAGTGGAAGATTATCCAGTGTTGCCAGTATATTGGCGATTTGGCTCCAAACTGGCAATTCTTTTTTATGAATGGCGATCGATGGCGCATGGCAATTTTTTTTTTATTAGTTAACACTAGGGACAGTTTTTTGATAAATGTCGAAAGATTGAGATTAATTTTATTCGTTCTTCGATTAGGAATTTATCCAGTCATCAGTGGGTTCGTGTAGTAGTTTGATTGGCCCAATGGACAGTTTTGGCGATTAGCGCCAAACTGGCTGTTCTTTTTGAATGGCGATCGATTGTCCGATTAGTTGGCGCCTTGGCTATTTTTTTAATTCTGTTTGGATAACAATAGGCGAGAGTTATATAGATATTGGCAAACTTTTCTAATAGGTATGTTTTCGTTGCCTGCACTTCTTATACTTTAACACCTAACCTGCACTATGATGTTCTCTTTGCCGGATGTGACGTAATTTTATCATACATTTCGCTACACTTTCTGCACCTACTCTTGAGGTGGTGTAAAAGAGTTACACTTAGTGCAGGCAACGAAAACATACCTATTACAAGCACTTAAACTTAATTATAATTTCGTGTAACACCTTGATTGGCTGTACTTTGAACAGTTTTCATGGAAATCCGCATTTATAATATTTTAAATATGAAAACATTCCTAAATATTCTTTTTTGGATACCTATGAAAATAATTGAATTCTTGCTAAGATTTTTATTAAAATTTTTAAAAAATTCTAATTAAATTCTTTTGAAGAATTTCTTTGAATTTTTTTATACTAATGGAGTTTCATGAATAATTTTAATTTAAAAATTTGCAAATAATTGAATTTTATGAACAATTTCTTTCAAGTTTTTAAAATAATCGTGCTTCTTAATAATTTAAATTAAACATTTAATTATTGAAACTGATTAACATTTTTAGAAAATAATTCAATTCTTTGTAGAATTTTATTTCAATTTTCTAAAATAATTTAATTCATTCAAGGAATTTTATTAAAATATAGAAAATAATTTAATTATTTCGAAGAATAGTGTACTATTAATGGTTTTGACTATTGAACTCTTTCAAAAAGTTTCTTTAATTTATTAAATATAATCGATTTTGTTAATAATTGTAATTAATAGTTTTACTAATTTTCAGGATTTTTTTTTTTCTTCAGGATTAAAAATCATATAAATTTGTTACAAATAGTTGAGTATTTAATAAAATATAAACATTTTAATAAAAAATTACGAATGCTTTAGTAGTCGGACACTTTTTCCCCTTGTTTCTATAGTCGGACATCTGTCAGATATTTTGAATTTATAAAGTAAAACAGATAATTTTTTAATTGCTATCTACTGGAAAATGGAATTAAAGCATATTAGAAGTTATTAATATAATATTTAAACCCTATAAGTTTTAATATTTATGATTAATTATCAACAAAACTTTGTGCCACTCATCGCGCTACTCGAAAATGGCTGTATCTATAGTCGGACACCATGATTTTTAAAACATTAAATAAAATATTTCTTGTTTAATTATTTTCGAAAATAACACTATTTTAATAAAATATAAACTTCACACATTCGTTTTGTATACTTTTTAAAGTAATTATCACAATGCATTATTATTTATTTGCCAAAAAACACGAAAGTGTCCGACTACTAGTACTGTCCGACTATACCCGCACTTACCCTATATTATTTAAATGTTTATAAATATTTTCATAATTACTTGATATATATACAGCCTTCACAACATTTTCAAACAAACTTCAAGTTTTTACTATATTTCTTCCAATCTGGCAGCACTTAACAATAATAACATGAACATTGAAAAATTTGACATTTAAAAATATAAAAAATGCCAATACTTAACCCACAAAAATTAATTTTCAAAACAAACGTATAAAAAACAAAAGAATAACCATAACTAACTTCAAGTGTGGACAGAGATCCGGAAATCTGGAATCACGACGATTATTATATATAATAATTTGCTTTTCCATTTTTGAATAAAATTTTCGTTACTCATTTCAAATGGTATGTACAATTTAAAGTCAAAAGAGACACTAATTAATAGTGAGCTATGAAGAACAGTTCGTTTACTATTTGTTTACATCAATGCATGACTCAATACAAGCCATTTGGTAAATTGAAAAAGAAATTCTTTCAACTAAGACTATTTTCTTATGATCAATTGCGTCATAGTAATATTTTTTGCAATAAATTTAATTTAATTTAATTCAATTTAGTTTGATTTTCAATTTGCCTAAAACGGCCTTGGCAAAACCCGAATTGCCTAGGGAAATCGGGTTTTGCCTAGGCAATTCGGGTTTTGCCGGTAACATACATACCAAATTGCAATCAAATTCATTTAAATTTGTACTAAATAATACAATTTATGTTTTAAAATTTAATTAAATTTCAGAATAAAAATTTTTCAGTTTTTATTTTTTATTGTAAAAAATAATCGTTCTATAAACGAAATGAAAGTAAGACAAAAGTTGTGCTTTTTCATTTCCTTTAAGATAGCGTTTTTAAAATATCGAAATTTTGAGTTTTTATTTTTTCCTATATTTGATACCATTGACTGGCTTTTCAGCGTTTAAGCCGAACGAAGATCGAGTTATTTGACTGAACTCCTCAATTACAAAATTTTTTATTTTTAAATATAAATTTTTTAAATAATTTCATAATCAAAACTTAAAACATTCACTTATTAAGTACAAAATCAATTATTACTGTTCATATTTTCAAAAATTTTAATAAAATTTCATAAAAGAATTCAATTATTTTCTAAAATTTTAATAAATCCTTCTAAAGAATTCAATTATTTTTTTATAAATATTATTTTTATTTTTTATAAATACGAATATTCTTTGCAGGAATTAAATTATTTTTAATCAAATTTAAATAAAATTACACGAAAGAATTCAATTATTGTCAAAAATTTCCATAAAATTCAAGTTCAACAAGAATTTAAAATTCTTTAAAAATAATTCAATTATTCTCAAAATACTTTTAAAAAATTCTATATAAAAATTAAATTACTTTCAATGCAATTTTTAAATATATTCGTCAAAAAAATATTGAAAGAATTGAATTGAGGGGCTGAATGCTATAATGTGTTACGCGCCATTTACTTAACATGGCGCATAAGACATTATAGCATCCAGCCCCTCAATTATTTTCAAAAAATAATAAAATTCTTGTGATGAATTCAATTATTTTGAATATACTTAATTTTAATAAAATTCTTTAAAGAAATTCAATTATTTTCGAAACAACTTTAATTGACATTCTCGAAAAAATTTCATTATTTTCAAATATTTCTATATAAAATTCTTCATAACAATTTAATTATTTCTTAAAATTTCAATTTCAATTTTCAATTTTCAATTTTCAATTTTCAATTGCTTTCAAAATTTTCAATTAAAATTATTAAAGAAACTTCATTAGCTTAAAAAAAATTCAAAGAAATTTTTCAAAAGAATTTAATTAGGATTTTTAAAAATTTTAATTAAATTTTTCGCGAGAATTCAGTTATTTTCCTAAATAATAAAATTCTTTGAAGGAAATCTATTATTATCAAATTTTTTGATAAAATTCTTTGCAACAATTCGATGATTTTCAATTCATTAATTTTAAAATTGAAAATATTTGAAAAGAAAAATTATAAAAGTTAAGAAACAAAAAAGCAAACAACAGCTAACTGAAAGGAATTAAATTATTTACAATTGAATTTTAATAAATTTTCTCGAAATAATTGAATATTCTTAAAAAAATTTGTGATAAAGTTATTAAGAAGAATTTATACCTATAATTATTTTGAATACATTAATTTAAAAATTTTAAATGTTATTTAAAAAGAAATTTTTTTAAAAAAATTAGTGAATAAAAAGCAAACAAGAAATTTTTTCGTTTTTAATTTGAATGTTTGTTTTTTTTTACATTGGCGTCGTTGTTTTTAAAAATTATTTTTATATTTTAATTTTAAATACATTTATTTAATAAAATAATATTTTAATTTGTTTCCCTTTTTAATTTTAATTTTTTGTTCCAAAAAAACGAAGGAGTCCCGGAGGGTTTTAGATTCAATCCACCTAAACAGGAGACATTCTTCAAGGATGACGCGAATCACGATCCAATTTGGAGCGAGGAAAAAGTGATTTCTGCCAATTTTAATTTGAATGGCGTCGTCATTGGAAAGGATGAATTTGATATTATGAATGCAACAACAGTGGTGGTGTTTGAAATTTTAGAGAAAGTCTGGGCGACAAAAGATGTTGCATTGATTGATATGAAAATTGAATTTGGCGTTGATACGAATGGAGAAATTCTCGTCGCTGATATTATTGATGCCGATTCTTGGAGACTCTGGGTGTCAGGTGATAGGAGAATCATGAAGGACAAGCAGGTATTACTTTTTTAGAATTCTGAAAAAATTTATCTTCAAATATTTTGGAGCACTCAGTTTCAAAATCTTCCAGCTGGAAAAGAGAATTTTATTCTCTATTAGGCGGTTATTCTTCAAAAATACAAATTTTCGATGAATTCTAACTGTACATTTGGAAAATGATTGTTTAGAAAAATTTAGAATTTGAGTTATTACCAAGAAATGGAAAGAATTAATTAACTATTGCGAAGTGAAATTTTCAATTATTTGAAAAATTTTACACAGTAAAAATTTTTATTTCAGGTTTTCAGAATGCTTGAGACCGTGACACAGAAAGATTTGGAATCAGTGAAAAGTACTTTTACATGGGTTGATGATCATTGGAATTCTTTGGTTCTACCACCACGTCCACTCGTTGCAGTTTTGATGGGTTCACCATCGGACGAGGAGCATTGTAAAAAAATTGCCAAGTATGCAACAGAAATGGGACTTCAGGTTCAATTGCGAGTGATCAGTGCTCATAAACAAACTGCGGAGACACTGCGAATTCTCGCTGAATATGAAGGCAGTGGCGAAAAGGTAACAATGCCAAACTAATATTGTCCTTTGTTGATATTTATTTCTTTTTTCGGCTCCGATAATATAACATAACGATGAAAATATAATAATATTTAATTTAATATAATAATAATAATTGAAGGGCTACATAAAATAAGGGGACGAACGCGTGGTTGAAAGGGATAATAACAGTCAGGTAGCAGCGAGCGGCTCAAGGATTGCCACTGCTACCCGGCTGGTAGTATCCCTTCCAAGTCTCGCGTTCGTCCCCTTATTTTATGTAGCCCTTCAATTTAAGAAATAAATTTTTATTGAGTTTCTAATTTCTCAATTTTTATTTCTTTTCTCTTTTGCAGATCGTATTGATTGCTGCAGCGGGTCGAAGCAATGGGCTGGGTCCAGTTCTTTCTGCAAATTCAACTTTTCCTGTCATTAATTGTCCACCTGTGAAAGCTGAAGATGCTGGTAAAGATATTTGGTCATCTCTCAATGTTCCCTCAGGTAAGTCTTCTTACTTTTCGAGAAAACGGAATTTTATATTTATTCTTTCTGTTTTATTTTATTAATTTTTTTTTCTTCCAATTTCATTTTTCAATTTCAAAGCGAACTTTCCCTTTAGCAATTACATTTTCATTAAATTTAAACATTTTTATTTTATGTGAACGTCAAGTTGTAATATTTCAATCATTAAATTTATTTTGAGGATAATTATTAACATTGATATTAATAATTTAATAATTTAATAAAAGGATAATAATTCTTTTTCTTTAGGTCTCGGTTGCACAACTGTTATTTATCCTGAGAGCGCTGCCCTTGCAGCAGCACAAATTCATGCCCTGAACGATTATTTTGTTTGGTCACGATTGAGAGTGAAAATTTTAACAAATTTCATCACTTTGAAACAAGCAGATTTAAAAATACGAAAAATGACATTTTAATAGTTAGATAAATTTTATTAGAAAACGAATAATTTCTGAAATTTTGATCGTTTTTAAAAATATTTTGTATTTTTTACTGTTTGTTCTGTGTACTTTTTAACGTGTTGATATTAAAGATAGATATATTTTTTACGCAAATTGTTTTTAAATGCATTAACTAATTTAGAATAAAAAAACGACAACCAAAAATTACTAAATGTTTATGAAACTTAGCAGTTTATGTCTTATTACAGTTAATTTTTAATATTTTATTAGTCTCTATTGACTGTAAATTTATTCGTTTAGTTCCATTTCGAGAAGATTTTAAATAAAATGTATTAATCAAACTACTGTGCTTTATTATTTATTTTTTAATTATTAATTTATTTTCATTCTATACCTTACAAGGCCTTTATTATTCACTAGCAAATTTTACGCGCGCGAAACTTGATCTTCGATTTATTATATTACAAAATTTTTTAATTTCAAATATTATTTATTATTATCTTTATTTTTTTGTATAAAAATTAAGATAAAAAATTGAATACTTACATTCATATTAATTGGCTCAGTTGATTTAGGTTTTTCCAGGTTTTAACTACAGTTTTTCCTTCTTTAATCTAATATTATGATTGTCTGCAATGAATTGATCACCTCGGAATAAGACAAATCTTCTGCCTCGGCGTTTTCTAAAAACATCGTTTTTCTAAAAAATTATTTCCTAAAAAACACATTTCTCGAAATAATTGCTGGATAAAAGTTCCTCGTGATGTCCGACGAATAACCACGATATTTACAACCTACGAAGAAACATAATTAAACTTTTTGTGTAAAATTCGGCAAGTATAATTTATTTACATTTAATTATTATTATTATTTTTATATTATTATATTTATTAATTTTTATTAAGAAAACAGTCGTTTGCGTCGATTAATATTATTTTTCCAAATCTTAAAAATTTAATTATTTGTTGTGTATAATAAATTAGCCAATAAATTTTGCAACAAAACAAAATTTAATAAAAGAAAAAAAATGTAATGACAAAAAAACCGAATAAATAAAATTTAGTAAAGGGCAAAAATTTAGAAAATAAAATTTTCTAGTGGTCTATTTAAATTAAGATTATTTAAATTACTCGGAGCAAATATTTGGAGAGAATTCTATTATTGTCAGTATTCAATTAGAATTTATTCAGCCATTTAAAAACATTAAAACTAATAATCAGAGATGGAATTTTTTTAGCAGCTACACTGTGTCCAATTAGATCAATTATCAGTAATTGAAAAAAAAATATGCACGACAATTTCTAATCTCTGCTCCAAAATGTGATTTTCAAGATAAATAATTTAATTTTAAAAACGATTTTCTTTCAATAAAAAAAAGAAAGAAATGGAAATTTCTAATCTCTGCTCCAAAATGTAATTTTCAAGACAAATAATTTAATTTTAAAACAATTTTGTTTCAACAACAACAAAAAAATGGAAGAAATGAAAATTTCTAATCTCTGCTCCAAAAAGTAATTTTCAAGATAATTTCAAAAAAAATAATTTTTATTTAAAAACAATTTTCTTTCAATAACAAAAAAAAGAGATAAAAATTTAAATTTTTCTTACTATTTTTAAAGATGTGTTCAAGGCTTTTTGTCAAAAAATTTTTGTTTGCTTTTTTCAGAGTACAGTCAGCACGTGTCTCGAGTTCATTGTCGTCAACGTAATAGAATCTCTCACCACGCTAGTTCTCTCTTGAACGGTGAGTAATAACTGACTGAATTCTCAACATTGAATGAATAATCCCACCAATAGAAAGACACTTTTGAGAATGAAAGGGCAGGAATTTATATATCTCCACTTTTTTTCCCTTCAGTGTCGAATAAAGAGCTTTACACAAAAATAACGACTCGTTTTCAATGTACGAAAAATCTTCCAAGTACTTTTTCTCTTTATTTTTTAATCCTTAAAAACCAATTAAAGAATTTTCTTTTCTTTTAAAGAGAAAAAAAATTTTGCTCATCAAAATTTTTATTTATCTAACGTGAATTAAAATTTCGAAGAGATTTCTAGATTTAAATTTATTATTCAAGGTCAAAAGAAAGTGAGCTGACACGTTTTTCTAGTTTAGGCAGAATATTTTTTTTGCGGGGAGATTTATCCAGATTCTAGTTTCTATTTATTATTATTATTATTATTATCTATTGTTTTTTATTTATTGATTTTAATTTTTTTTCGTCATATATAGATCATCGTTTGTGTATTTATTCATTTTAAGGCATATTATCTATGGACACTTGTTGCTTCTGATTTAAAAATATGTTGCGTGTTTTTAGATAAGAAATTCAACGAGAGGAAGGGATTATTAAGGAGACTTGTGCCTGGTAACAGACACTTGCACGAGGCACATTAGAGGGTGAAGATGGCAGGTAAGCTTTAATTTCCGTTTATTATTTCTCTGTCAATTCAAAGTTCAATTCTTTTTTTTGTTTTACTCTTCAAAATTCAAATACGAAATAAAGTGTACTTTAATTCACGAAACATAAATTTTAGCATTATTGGGATTTTATTTAATTCAATTTATTTCAATTTAATTTAATTTTTTTATTTACTTATTGATAATTAATATATTTAAACAATATTCAATTAGTAATTTAATTGTTAATAAAGAAAAAAAAACTTATTAATATTCTTAAGTGATTAGTTCTTTTTTTAATGACATTCTGTTCCTTGTGTATAATTTCGATAACGATTATTTTTAAATTTACATCTTTATAAAAGTAAAAAAAACCATATAAAATATTTAAATTTGATCTTATTTTTAATATAAATTTTAGCAAAATATTCGTTTTTGTAAGAAGTGAAGTAGAAAAATAGAATTGCAATAAATATTAAAAGGAAGTAAAAGTAGTAATTAATTTCAATTTTGACAGGGATTTTTTTTAAGTAAATTTGTAATATTTTTCTTTTTTTGATTTTATAGGGGAACATAGTCTAGGTCGGCCACCTTTTTGACTTTTGTTTATAACTTTTTTTTAAAAATAAATTTGGACAATTGAAGTATATGGTTGGAAAGTCCTGTTTAATAGGAACATTTTTTCTGTACAAAGTAAATTGACAGGTTTAAAAATGAAAAAGTTATAAAGATTTAAAAAAAAAAAAATTTGTAGTCCAGGTTGGCCATTACAGTCAAGGTCGGCCATGTTTAAAATTCAAAGGGCATTAATCGTTAAAAAATAAAATAACATGTTTGGAGTTACGGAAAATTGATTCTTTATTGTTTACAGTTTGTAACTTAATGAAATAACAAAATAATAAAAATAAACAATATAAAAAAATAAATATAAATAAAAAAAAATTTTGCACTAAAATATTAATAAAATTAAATAAAAATATTAATAAGATGATCAATTATATTATGAGTTATACAGAATTGCAGTTTTTGCAAATGAAGTAGCTCGTCCTCATCTTTGCGCATTTTAAACACATAGTGGCCGACCTTGACAGTAAGTAACATTACCGAATTGTTGTAACCATAAAGAAATACGTTTCGGGATTCGATTTTTTACTTTGTTTTCCTTTCAACCATGAGTCCCACAAATTTTCTGCATACTTGCCTTGACGATTCAATTTGTTTTTTATCTTTTATTAATGGTTTTTCACATTATGCACAAAACTTTTTTTGAGCTTTTTTTGTACCGACGTCACAGAAAACACAATTTTCGATTTTCCGAAAATGTAATTGAACAAAAAGTTAGGTTTCACTAAGACAAGCTTCGACAAAAATGCGCGTAGGTGGCGCTAGTGAACTTGACAAAAAAACGCGAGTGGCCTACCTAGACAGTAGGCCAACCTTGACTACATTCCCCTACCTATTAAATTAAATTTCTTTATTTCATTTTTTTAATATAAATTTTTTCATTTCATTCCTTTTAATGTAAATAATTATTATATAAATTTTCTTTTTGTAAGCCCGTTAATTTCAATTTGGAGATTTTTTGTCATTTGTAAAAATATTTATTTGATTTTTTATTAAATTAAATTTTTTTATTTAATTCTTTTTAATTTTAACTTTTGGAAAATATTTATTTCTGAAAGAAGTGGAAAAATGAAGGTAAAAATAGAAGTAATTTTTGTCAATTGAGAAAATAAATGGTAAAATATATTGTTTTCAGGCTACAAACTGGGAAAGTTGATAATTGAGGGAAAGACGAAAAAAGTCTATGAACTGACGGACGATAATTCCCTTTGCTTTCTTCAAAGTAAGGATCGAATAACAGCCGGAGATGGAGTTAAGGCCCATGAATTGGAGGGCAAAGCTGCCATTAGTAATGCAACTACAGCAAAAGTTTTTCAACTCTTAAATCAAGCTGGTCTTAAAACTGCTTTCGTTAAAGTTGCCAATGACACGGCTTTTATCGCCAAAAAATGTGAAATGGTCCCTATCGAATGGGTCACCAGACGCTTGGCAACTGGAAGTTTCCTGAAGAGAAATCCAGGTATTAATCATCAAAATAATTCGATATATTAATTTTTGTTCGTTATTTTGATTAATAATGTACTATTCTATTTTTCATTTTTTCCATTTTAATTTAAATTTTTGTTTAACTTTAAAGGCGCACTCACAGCTAGTAGGCAGCATACAAAATTGAATTTACTGTCTCTTTCACTCTAATTGACTTTCTCTCTTACTCCAATTACTGCCTGCGCAGGCAGGCAGAGCTGTGAGTGCTCCATTATTCTTCTTTGATTTGAATTTTTTTTCTTAAAAACGATCGTTAATTTTATTTTCCTTTTTTAATTTGAATTTGAATTGTAATTTTTTTCCATCTTCAATTTTACTTTAGTCTGTTTATATTTATATTGACAATTTTTTTTCCTTTTTCAATTTGAATTTTTGTCTGTATTCGTATTGTTAATTTTTTTTCGATTTTGATTTTTGTTCGTTTGCATTTTTATCTTTAATTTTTTTCTTTCGTTATTTGAATTTTTCCCTTTTTGTATTTGTATTGTTGTTAATTTTTTTCCTTTTTCAATACAAATTTGTATCCGTTTGTATAATTATATCGTTAATTTTGTTTCTTTTTTCAAATCCGAATTTTTATCTGTTTGTATTTGTATCGTTAAATTTTTTTTAAATGATCGTTCATTTTTATTCCTTTTTCAATCTGAATTTTTATCCGTTTGTATTTGTATCGTTAAATTTTTTCTCCTTGTTTAATTTGAATTTATGATTATTTGTATTATTGTATCGTTAATTTAATTTAATTTTTCAATCTGAATTTTTATTCGTGTCGTATCTGAATGTTAATTCATTTATTTGTATTGTTAAATTTTTCTTTCATTTTTAATTTTAGATTTTGTTTTAAAACGATTGTTAATTTGTTTCCTTCTTCTATCTGAATTTTTATCCATTTGTTTCGTCAAAAATTTTTCCCCGTTTTAATTTGAATTTTTATTCAAAAAACGAACGATGTTTTTCATTCTTTAATTTGAATTGTTTTAAAAACAGTTAATTTTTTCCCATTTTTAATTTGAATTTTGTTTTTAAAAATAAAGAAGTCACGGAGGGATTCAGATTCAATCCACCTCTGCAGGAGACATTCTACAAGGACGACGCGAATCACGATCCACAATGGTCTGAGCAACAATTAGTTTCTGCCAATTTTAAATTGAATGGCGTCGTCATTGGAAAGGACGAATATGACATTATGAATGCCATGACATTGGCAGTTTTTGAAGTTTTAGAGAAAGCCTGGTCGACAAGAGATTGTGCATTGATTGACATGAAAATTGAATTTGGCATTGATTGTAATGGCGAAATTCTCGTCGCTGATATTATTGACAGCGACTCCTGGAGACTCTGGCCTTCTGGTGATAAGAGACTCATGAAGGACAAGCAGGTATTTTAAAAACTCTTTTACATTCTGCAAAGAAAAAAGAAATATTTCTTTAGTTGGGATTTTAAAATACTCATAATTTTTACATTCTTCAAAAAAATATTCCTTTATAGTTGAAAATATTTTCTTAGTTGCAATTTGAAAATACTCTTATGATTTTTTCAATCTGCAAAAAAATATTCCTTTAGTTGAAAATTGAAAATACTTTTATAATAAAAAACTAAAAATATTTCTTTGATTGGAAATAAAAAATACTCTTATAATACAAAACTAAAAATATTTCTTTAGTTGAAATTTAAAAATAGTGTGTAAATCTAAAAATATTTCTCTAGGTGAAAATTGAAAATACTCTTATAATAAAAAACTAAAAATATACCTTTAGTTGAAAAGTAAAAATACTAAAAAAATAAATCGAAATTTACAATTATTCAAAATTTAGTTACAACAGAGTTGTTTTTAGGTCTACAGAAACCTCGCGACCGTGACACAGGAAGATTTGGAATCGGTGAAACGCAATTTCAAATGGGTTGCCGATCAATTGGATTACTTGGTTCCACCACCAAGTGCACTAGTTGTTGTTTTAATGGGTTCACCATCGGACGAGGAGCATTGTAAAAAAATTGCCAAGTACGCGACAGCATTGGGACTTCGTGTTCAATTGCGAGTGAGCAGCGCTCATAAAGAAACGGAGGAAACGCTGCGAATTCTCGCTGAATATGAAGGCAGTGGCGAAAAGGTATCAATATCAAAAGAATTGACCTGTGTTGACATTTGTTCTTTCTTTCAACTCTGTGATAATATATAACGATGATGACGTCAGATTGTTATTGAGTTTATAATTTATCAATTTTCTGTTATTTTTCTCTCTCTTTGTAGGTGGTATTGATTGCTGTAGCGGGACGAAGCAACGGATTGGGTCCAGTTCTTTCTGGAAATTCAACTCTTCCTGTCATTAATTGTCCACCTGTTAAAGCTGAAGACATTGGTCACGATATTTGGTCGTCTCTCAATGTTCCATCAGGTAAATTTTTATACTTTTCTTGCGAAAATGCAATTTTTTTCTTTTCTTTATTTTTTAAAGTTTAAAATTATTTACTATTATTTTATTTTGTAATATAGGTATTACTTTTTATTTGCCATTTTTATTAATTTGTAAAGTATCATTTTTTATTTTCAAGTTTTATTTTTTTGCAAGTATCACTGTTTTTGAAAGGGAAATCGCAATTAATCTTGTTTACCAACATTTAGATCAAAAAAAAATTATTTCTCTTTTCCAATAGTTAGAGTTATTAAAATCAATTGTAGAGAGTAAAATAGAAATAAAAGTAAAGTAAATTAAAAATTAATTCTTTAACTCAATAGTAAAGAAAATAATTTTTTTTCTACAGGTCTCGGTTGCACAACTGTTGTTTATCCGGAGAGCGCCGCCCTTGCAGCAGCACAAATACATGCACTGAATGATCATTTAGTTTGGTCACGATTGAGAGTGAAAAAATTGACAAATTTCATCACCTTAAAACGAGCAGATGTTAAAATGAGAAAAATGACATTGTAATATCAGTCAGATAAGTTTTATTACCAAACAAATATTCTTTTTAATCTTGCAAAAGCTGATGAAAGTCTTGCTAAAAATTGTGATTTGTTTTTGAAAAATATTTTGCATCAAATGTTTTTTATCGCGCTTTCCATTTATACAATTCTCCTCTTTTTGTTACTCCTCCTCTATACTTTTTCACATGTTTATAAAATAGATATATTTCTTATGCAACCTGTTTTCGAATGATTATTTTAATTGACGAAATAAAAAAGAAAAAAACTTAATGTTTATGATAGCAGTTTTTGTTTATGTCTTATTATTATTAATTTTAATTAGTCTCTACTGGCTGCAAGTCTATAATATTCATTTGTTTCCATTTCGAGAGGTTTTTGAATAAAATGTTTTAATTAAACTTTCTTTGTTTTATTTTATTAAAAAAAATCTCATTCTGAATGGATAAAAATTAATAAAATTGGTAAAAATGAACAATTTTGATAAATATTTATTTACATAAACATTTTTTTGTTTGTACAAAATTTATTAACATACTTACATTCGGATTTATTGACTTAGTTTTGCCAAGTCTTCGATTTCATTGACTTCTTTTGGACATTTTCGGGTTAAAACTAAAGTTTCTCCTTCTTGTATCAACACGTCGTCTTCTATTCGAAGACCCAAATCGTGAAATTCTGGAAGTGCGAACTGATTTTTTGGACTTACATATATGCCTGTAAATAAACGGAATAAAAGATTTTCTTATTAATATTTTTGTTTTAGCTTTTTCAGGCTTTGCACTTGTTAATTAATTTGAAAAAGGTAGCTAGCCAGCTAAAAGAATGAAAAGAAGTAAAAATGAAGCCATGAAAAAATTAAATTTGACGACTAAATAACTAATTTTAGTCGATTCAATGTGCAAACAAAGCAATTCATTTTCTTCATGGATATCACGAAAATTTGATTATGAATTACTCTGATTTCCAAAATGTTTTGATATTTCAAATTAATCAAATTTTACTGTAATATTTTAAAGATTGAATAATGACGAAAATTAATTAAACAAAATTGTTTAGAATTAAAAGTCATAATTTACTTTGTAAATTTAATTAAACATTCTAAAACATAAAAATTGAAATTGAAATTGAAATTTTTACTAATTTAAATTTAAAGAATATTAATTCTATTTCTGCAAGAAGAATTTAGAAATTATTTTATTTTTCACTATTTTTCGAATAAAAAGCAATTTTTTTTCTTTTAATTTTAAAAGATAACATTTTTGTTAAAAAATGTTATACTTTTGAATCTAAAATAATTTAATTATTGCATAGAATTTTATTAAAATTGCTGAAAATAATTAAATAATTAAACTTTAAATTAATTTATTTAATTAGTAAGTAATTTAATTTAAATTTAATAAAAATAATTGAATTAAAATTCAACGAGTTTAATTAAAATTGTATTAAAAAAATTAAATTCTTATAGAGAACCTTATAAAACATTTTGAAAATAATTCAGTTCCTGCAAAGAATTTTATTATTTATGAAAATAATTGAATTCTTGTGAAAAATTTTATTAAAATCTTTTTAAATAATTCAATTCTTTCGAAAATTTTTATTAACATTGTATTTAAAATAATTTAATTTTTAAGAAAATTATTAAAATTTATAAAAGTAATTGAATTTGTGTGAAGAATTTTATTAAAATTTCTGAAAATTATTTGATAGTTTCAAAGAATTTTATTTCAATTCCTTCGAAGGATTTTTTCAATTTTTTAAATATAATTAGATTTTGTTAATAATTATTGTAACTAATAACTTTATTATTAAATTTTAAATAAATTATTACTTATTAATGAAAAATTTAATTCTTTTAAACAATTTTATTAAAGTTTTCGTAAATACTTAAATTCCTTTGAAGAATTTTTTTTAAGTTTTTTGAAAATAATGTAGGTTTTCAATTATAATTGAAAACTTTGAAAGCAACTGAATTATACGAAAAATTTCTTTCACATTTTTAAAAATAATGGTGTTTCTTAATAATTGTAATTAAAAATTTAATTATTGAATTTTATTAAAATTTTTTTAAATAATTGAAATTTACCTAGAATTTTGTTACAATTTTTGAAAATAATTGAATTCTTTTGAGAAATTTTACAAAAATTGTACTGAAAATAATTGACTTCGTGCGAATAAATTTATTGTTTATGAAAATAATTGAATTCTTTCGAGAAATTTTACAAAAATTGTACTGAAAATAATTGAATTCATGCAAATAAATTTATTATTTATGAAAACAATTTTAAGAATAAGGGAAATCTTTTGAAAAAATTAAAAAAAAGGTTAAAAATATTTGAATACTTTCCAAGAATTTTATTTAAATTTTTGAAAGTAATAAATAATAAAAAAAAATATCCAAATATTATTAAATCGTAAAAAAGTAATAGATAGTAAAAGTTTCAGTAGAAGAATGCAAAGTCTGCTTTTTTTGAAAACAAGTGAAATTTATTTATTTACCTGGTTCAACGGTGACAATCATTCCCGGTTGGACTTTTATACTTCTTGATATTTTCGCCGTATCGTGAACATCCATTCCCAAATAGTGACTAACATGATGTGGACAATATGCATAACCGGCTGCAATTAATTTATCACCTCCATAATGTTTTGGAACGAGGCAAACCTCCTGCAATCGTTTTCCTAAAAATAAACACATTTCCCGAAATAATTGCTCTAAACTCGGCATATCTCTCAATTTTACTATCATTTCTTTTTGCGTCTCAAGAATAATTTCATACAAGATTCTCTGCTGCTGGGTAAATGTTCCATTAACCGGCCACGTCCTCGTGATGTCCGACGAATAACCATGATATTCGCAACCTTAGAAAATAAACAGACTATTGAACCTTTTAAAATTTTTAATTAATTTAATTTTTCAATTTTAAAAGGTAAATTAAATAAATACTAAAGTAGTAGTATTTAATTAATAATTAATTAGTATTATATTTTTACTATGAGAAAATGTTATTAATAAAAAACTTGCCTGCGTCCATTAAAACCATTTCTCCATTCTTAACAATTTGATTATTCGTTATATAATGAATAGTACAGGCATTTTTACCACCGGCAACAACTGGTGGATATGCTAAAAATTCTGCTCCATTCATTCTCGATTGATAATCAACAATAGCAAACAACTGATGTTCACTAATTCCCGGTTTCGATGAACTTATCGCCTTCGCTATTGCATCCGAAGCAATATCACAACTTCTCTGCATCAAAGCAATCTCTGCTTTCGATTTAATTAAACGCATCTGATGAAATACTGTCTTCGGACAAGTGAATATTTTCCCATCATTTACTTTTAAAATATTCATCAATACTTTATGTATCTCCGGTTGAACAACATCCTCCGAATCGTACCAAATTTTACTCTGTCGATTTTCATTAATGAACGATGAATAAAATCTTTCAAAGTCAGAAATTGGAAGTGCTTCATCGACACCAAATAATGGTACCGCTGCATCGACTCCCGTTCGTGTACCATTCCATAATTCTGAACGTGGATCTTTGCTTCTCATGAATAGAGTTGAGGTGAAATTCTCACCTCTTCCTGTGAGAATGAGACAACTGTCGGGCTCCTGACAACCGGTGAAATAGAGAAAATCGGAATTTTGACGAAACACGTAGGGTATTTTTTCAGTCATGTACATTGTCGTTGACGATGGAATTACAACAATATGCGATGATTTTTCATTGATACTATTGAGGAAAATTTGTTCCATTAATTTGCTTCGTCTACTTTTAAATTCATCCATTTGAATTCCAGGGACGACTTCGCCTTCTTTTATTAAATGAGGATGTGTTTGAAAAGTCGGCTGACCAAAGCTGGTCTGTATAACTCTCGATGAACTTTCGCATGATGTATTCTGCACTACTTTCGTCGAATATTTAGATATTTGGCACACTGAAAAAATATGTATTCAAAATTATATTTATATTTATAATCAAACAGGGTGGCCACATGTCAGTAATGTCAGGGAAATTAAGAAAATTGAGACTTTTTCTACTTTCCTTCCAAATATTGCAACAAAATAACACATTTTTTAGTATAAAATGCAAATTATTTTGATTTTTATAGTGCGAAAAATAACTCATAAATAATAAAATTCTTTAGAGCAATTCAATTATGTTCAATACAATTTTAATAAAATTCCTCAAAAGAAAACAATTATTATTTTTAAAAATATTAATCAAATTCGATTATTTTCAAGATTTTTAACATAATTCCTTCAATTAAAATTGTATTTAAAATAATTGAATTGCTCTAAAGAATTTTATTATTTATGAAAATAATTGAATTCTTGAATTGGATTTTATTAAAAGTTTTTTTAAATAATTGAACTCCTGTGAAAAATTCAATTATTTTCTAAAGTATAATTGAATTTTCTTGGAGAATTTTTACGAGATTTTTAAAAATTTCGAAGATATCAATTAAAATTGTATTTAAAATAAGTGAAATCCTAATAAGAATTTTATTATTTATATAAAAATAATTTAATTTTTTTACGAAGATTTTTATTATTTATAAATTGACATCTTGTAAAGAATTTTTTTTACAATTATTGAAAATAATTGAATTGTTGATAAATTTAATTACTTTCAAAATTTTCAGTAAAAATTATTAAAAAAAACTCTATTTTCAAGAATATTGAAATAAATTCTTAAAAACAATTCAATTATTTTAAAGATTTTTAATAAAAATCTTGCCAAGAATTAAATTATTTTCAATACAATTTTAATTACATTTTTTCGAAAGAATTCAATTACTGGAAAAATGTCGATAAAATTCTTGAAATTAATTCAGTTATTATCAAATTTTTTTTATAAATACTTTACAAGAATTCAATGATTTTCATTACATTAATTTTGAAAAATATTTAAAAAAAAAAATTATTATTTAGAAAGTTAGGAAACAAAAAACCAATAGCAACGGATTTCAAACTGCGAACAGATTACCGGAACATGTACTTTTTTATTATTAATTTTAAAAATAATTGAATTATCAAAAATTTTAATAGAAAATCTTTAAATGTAAAATTAAAAATGAAAATTAATGAAAATTAGATTCTAAATTTTAAAAATTAGATTTATTTTCAACTATGTATATGTATTTGAAAATTGAAATACATATACAAAAAATAACCTTTTTTGAATTATTTTTAACATTCTGCAGAAAAAAATCATGTTCAAAATTTTTAATTAAAATAATTCCTCAAGAAATTAATTAGTTTTTTTTAAATTATACAAAAATTCTTTTAAAAAATTAAATTATTTTCGAAAAATTGCATTATAAAATATTTTTAAAACTTAATTCTTAGAATTGTTCTATCATAATTTTTTAAAATTTCGGAGAAATCATAGTCATATTCTTCAAAATTCGATTATTTTTATTTATTTTTTACAAAACTTCAATTCTTTTTAAAAGATTTTACCAAATTTCAATTGTTATTGGAAATTTTTCAATTGTACATATAATTCAGAAACTATTATCTTTCACAAATTATTTAAAATTATTTTTAAAAAATTAATTGTAAGAATTTCTTTATTATAATCTTTTTAAAATATTATACTTTATAACTTTTAAGAAAAAGACATGAATAATTACAATTATAAAAAATTGAGTTTTTTTGCATTTCAATAATTGAATTTAAATAGAACTTTATGAAAATTATTTAATAAGATAATTGAATGAAGAGATGAAGTTTAGAAATTGTAGAAAATAATTGAATTCAGGAATAGTTATAATTGTAATTTTTAAAAATTATTAAAATTTATAAATTTTACTCATTTTCCGTAAACTTTTATATTTTCCTGTGAAAAAAATTTTGTCAGGGAAAATAATTTTCATGTCAGTAAATTGTCAGGAAAATGTGAGGGAAATTGATAATCTGAAACTTGTGACCACCTTGTCAACGTTTCTCATTTTTTCATAGTTATAATTAATTTTTCAATAATAAACATTGTATAATTAAAAAAAATTTTTTTAAAACAATATTTAAAAAGTTAACCTAAAAATCAAATTCAGATAAAATTCGAATAACCACAATTAAAATATGATTTTATCAAATAAAAGTCAGTTTCGTTTCATTAAGTAGAATGTTTTTGTCATTAGAAAAATTAATCAAAAACATTAAAAACAAAGACTTCAAAAAAGTTAACCTAAAAATCGAATTCGGCAAAAACTGTTAAAGTAAAACAGAATCTGCGTTTTTACTCACCAAATGGATTTGATAGAAATTTAAAAACTCGTCTAAACGGATAAAACATACTATTAGTTTAATTTTAGTCAACAATAATAAAAAATGAGAGATAAATGTTTCATTTCGATTTCTGAGTGACAGACGGTCGTATGTAACTGACTAATCACGACTAATACTACATAATACTACCTTTTATTATCCCGAAACCTTTATTCTTCTTTATTTTCTTTAGTATTTTTCTTTAAATCGACCACAATTTAAAAACCTTTATTAATTTTAAATAAATTAAAAAAAACTGTGTATTTTGGAGCCTTATTTAAAATATAACCGCGAAACAGTTAAATAACCTTAAGTCCTATTCATTTGTTTTCTTTTTTCTATAATATTTTATCATGCTTGTTTTTTATTGGATGATGTTTCTTTTGCAATATTACCCAGCCAATTAAAATTGTCCACTGCTGTAAACTATCCACCAATAAAAATTAAGATGTCAACTTTAGATTTTGACAGCTCTATCGGAAATTATTGTCAAAAGAATTTTTTTTCTTTCTATACATTTTTGCGAGTACCTGTCATTTTTTAATTAAAATATAATAAAAAAATGACTGTTAATTAAATTAGAGTAAATTTAATAAAATTAGAAGGAAATTGACAGAAGGCAAATGCAAATGATGCGAAAAGGAAAAAAAATTCTAACCTTCAATGTACGATAAATAATCTTTTTGCAATATTTGCAACAATTAAAGAAACAAAAGAATAGCTAAAATATTAATTTTCTTTTTCAATTAGTGAATTAGTGTAATAATGAAAGAATTCGTGTAAAGTGTTTTCTGTTCTGTACTTTTTTTTCGCAATGGCTACAAAGAAATTTGAGAATGTTATCTCTGATAACATGGATTGTGAGATAAGACCTGGAGCATCTTCAGAGACTATGTTAGTTACAACTGATAATTACGAAGATTATGAGCAAGCAATGACAAGTAGTAAAAATGAAACACAAAGTAATGAACAATCAACCAATACAATTAAAACACTGCAGAAAGACAGTAAGGATAATTCTTGTGTAAGTTGGAAAAAACCGATTTTCTCCCCAAAAAAAAAGTTATTAAACAATTCTCTAATTTCCCTTAAAAGCAATATTACCACTTTATTGTATTATTTGATTCTAAATACTAATTACCAGTTTATTTTTATTATTTAAATGATGTACATATGTAAAACAAATGATAAACGATATTCTTTTTATTGTAATGAAAATAATTCTTTGCTTTTACAAACAGGAGGATTTAACTGAACAATTGAGTCAAAATTGCATTGAAACTGTTGATCCTTTGACTTGTAAAGTGTGGCTTTCACGTAAAAAACACATATTTGTCTTGAGCCAAGCTGGAAAGCCAATTTATTCGCGATACAGTTCGGAAGATAAATTAGTAACCGTGATGGGAGTAATGCAAGCTCTGGTATCATTTGTTCAAGCAAGTGACGATATGATTAGGTCAGTGCATGCAGGAGATACTTGTTTTGTTTTCGCTACTAAAGGACCATTGATATTAGTTGCTGTCTCCAAAACATTAGAAAGTGTCTCACAAGTTGTTTTACAATTAACGTAAGTATCAAACATTTTTATTAAATCTTATCATTATTTCTTCAACTAGCAACAATTCGCGCGCGGCTGACTTCTCATTCACTCTTTTTTAAATAAAATTAGCAATTTTAAAAATAATAGAAGGCAAAAATTTTTAATTCAAATTTTTTTTATTATAAATAAAATATAAATTGGAATATATATATAGTTTTATTATTATAATTATAATAATCATATATCAGGGTGTCCAGCTACCTTGAAAACCTTGAAAAGTACTTGAATTTTATGACAAAAACTTGAAAAATTAAAATTCTTAAAAGTGAGATTTATTTCCTTGATGTTTTAAATTGAATTCTCGTCAATATTTCAATTATCTTTATAAATATAAAAATTCTTCGCCAAAATTCAATTATATTCAGGTACTTTAATAAAATTCATTGCAAAATACAATTATTTTCATAAATAACAATATTCATCACAAGAATTCAATTATTTTATAAATTAATTGAATTCTTCTCAGAAATTCATTTATTTTCAAAAAATCAAAAAGAAAATTGTGGTCAACATTTTAATAAAATTTTAATAAAATTCATTGCAAAATTCAATGTTTTTAATATAAATAATAGTATTCATCACAAGAATTCAAATATTTAAAAAAAATTTTAATAAAAATCATGGCAAAATTTCAAATTATTTTAAAAATTTTTTCTTACTTCGATGATTTTCAATATTCTATTATTTTAATAAAATTTCACGAAAGAATTTAATTATTAAACAAAAGTTTTAAAAAAATTCTACACAAACTTTCAATTATTTAAAAAAAATAATTTCTACATTAATTCAATTATTTAAAATAGAATTTGCATAAATTTTTCCCAAAAATCAATTTTTTCATAATTTGACATTAAATTCTTTGCAGTAATTCAATTATTTTTAAAAATTTTAATAATATTCATTTAATGAAATTTGTTTTAAAATTTGGCATTAAATTCTTCGCAGTAATTCAATTATTTTCAAAAGTATGTAATAAAATTCGATTTTTTTCAAAAATTTTAATAAAAAATGCTGTGTTGGCATGGTGCATTGGTAGGCGTTAGTCCCGCGAAAGGCAGCTATTAACTGGGGTTCGAGTCCTCACAGATGCACAGTGCAGTCGTTCACGCAGCTTATTTTTTCAGATCAAAAATTAAATTCAAGAAAATAATTATTTACCGACAACCATATCGGAATAATTATCTAAAGAATAACACCTGACTCTAAACCAAAGAGTTCAATTGACGTCTAATAGATGTCACTAATTGCTGATATAGTCGAAATCTTCCTTAATTAAAATTCTTAATCAGCAAATAATTTCCTACATTAACTATACAGCTCTTCGACTAGTGTATGGGCTTGATCTGAGATTATAAGAAACGTGAACGTCCAGGCTGTGTTGGCATGGTGCATTGGTAGGCGTTAGTCCCGCGAAAGGCAGCTATTAACTGGGGTTCGAGTCCTCACAGATGCACAGTGCAGTCGTTCACGCAGCTTATTTTTTCAGATCAAAAATTAAATTCAAGAAAATAATTATTTACCGACAACCATATCGGAATAATTATCTAAAGAATAACACCTGACTCTAAACCAAAGAGTTCAATTGACGTCTAATAGATGTCACTAATTGCTGATATAGTCGAAATCTTCCTTAATTAAAATTCTTAATCAGCAAATAATTTCCTACATTAACTATACAGCTCTTCGACTAGTGTATGGGCTTGATCTGAGATTATAAGAAACGTGAACGTCCAGGCTGTGTTGGCATGGTGCATTGGTAGGCGTTAGTCCCGCGAAAGGCAGCTATTAACTGGGGTTCGAGTCCTCACAGATGCACAGTGCAGTCGTTCACGCAGCTTATTTTTTCAGATCAAAAATTAAATTCAAGAAAATAATTATTTACCGACAACCATATCGGAATAATTATCTAAAGAATAACACCTGACTCTAAACCAAAGAGTTCAATTGACGTCTAATAGATGTCACTAATTGCTGATATAGTCGAAATCTTCCTTAATTAAAATTCTTAATCAGCAAATAATTTCCTACATTAACTATACAGCTCTTCGACTAGTGTATGGGCTTGATCTGAGATTATAAGAAACGTGAACGTCCAGGCTGTGTTGGCATGGTGCATTGGTAGGCGTTAGTCCCGCGAAAGGCAGCTATTAACTGGGGTTCGAGTCCTCACAGATGCACAGTGCAGTCGTTCACGCAGCTTATTTTTTCAGATCAAAAATTAAATTCAAGAAAATAATTATTTACCGACAACCATATCGGAATAATTATCTAAAGAATAACACCTGACTCTAAACCAAAGAGTTCAATTGACGTCTAATAGATGTCACTAATTGCTGATATAGTCGAAATCTTCCTTAATTAAAATTCTTAATCAGCAAATAATTTCCTACATTAACTATACAGCTCTTCGACTAGTGTATGGGCTTGATCTGAGATTATAAGAAACGTGAACGTCCAGGCTGTGTTGGCATGGTGCATTGGTAGGCGTTAGTCCCGCGAAAGGCAGCTATTAACTGGGGTTCGAGTCCTCACAGATGCACAGTGCAGTCGTTCACGCAGCTTATTTTTTCAGATCAAAAATTAAATTCAAGAAAATAATTATTTACCGACAACCATATCGGAATAATTATCTAAAGAATAACACCTGACTCTAAACCAAAGAGTTCAATTGACGTCTAATAGATGTCACTAATTGCTGATATAGTCGAAATCTTCCTTAATTTAATAAACTTCATTGCAAAATTTCAATTATTTTCAACAAATTTTCTTAATTCAATAATTTGTATATCAATTATTTTTAATAGAAATTTCCAAAAGAATTCAATTATTTAAAAACAATTTTGATTGATGTTTCTTAAATCGATGTTCTTTATATTTCTAATATTTTATCAATAAATTGTATTTAAAGTTATTTATGAATAACTGTTGTATGTAGAAATTATAAAATTGTTTATAAGTACTCTCTAAATTTTAATTAGTAAAAATATTTACTAATTTGCATTAGTTACTGACTTTTTGCTTTTTAATTAGTAAATTTCACTAAAAAATTAGTAGAAATGATTTTTTATTAGTAAAATTTACTTTTTCAAAAGAAAAAAGTCAGTCTCTAAATCAAATTAGTAATCATTTTTACTAATTTAATTTTAGAGAGGAAGTAAAAATTTACTTAAAATACACTTATTGAGGAAAACTAATAAACAGAACTTACTCTATTACACTCGATTATAAATAACAAATATTTTGAAAATTACTACCCTAAAAATGGACCTTGAAAAAAATTATTTTGGACCTTAAAAACCTTGAAAAGTCCTTGAATTTTTTTTAAAGAATCGCTGGACATCCTGTATATTCTGACATGAAGAATTCAGGGAAAAGTCAGGAATTTTTATTAAAAAGTACTGAAAAAAATAAATTTTTAGAATTCATAAGAAAATTCTGAATTTTTGTGTCTTTTTTGTTTGACTCATAAACTATAAAATTACAACGAATTTTAATACAAAACCTTCAATTTTTTTCAATTTCTGACAAGAATTTTTTTTAAATAACTTTTAACAACTATCATAAAATAAATAAATTATTTAATAAATAATTTTTCTTAAATATTTCGAATTTAATTAAATATTAAAAGAGTTGCGTTTACAATTTTCATAAATAAATGAACTTCAAACGGTTTTAATTTGAAATTTTATAAAATTTTAATGTTTAATGAATTAAATTAGAAATTGTAATGAACTTAGATTTTTGAAAAATTTTAATAATTCAAAATCTTCTAAAATTATTTAAATTTGTCAATATATATTTAATTAATTCAGGGTTGTCACAAAAAATTAATTTTCTTTTTCCCTGATTTCCAGAAAAAATTTTGACTTTTTCCCTGACCCAAAAGAATATTCTGACTCTCCAATTGAAACCATTTGAAATTGAATAAATTTTATTATAATTTAAATTTTTATAAAATTTTTCAAAAAAAAAAAAATTTAATTATTTACAAAAATTTTAATAAAATCCTTCGTAAGAATTCAATTATTTAGAAAAATGTAAAAAATTCGTTGTAAGAATTTAATTATTACCAAAGTAATAAAATTTTTCATAGGATTTAAATTATTTTTAATACAATTTTAAATGAATTCCTCGAAAAATGGAATTATTTTCAAACATTTTTTGCAAGAATTTAATTACATTTCACAAATAATGAAATTCTTTGCTTGAATTCAAATATTTTCATAAATAATAAAATTCTTCACATTTCAATTGTTTAAAAGAAATGTAATAAATATCGTTGCAAGAATTCAATTGTTTTCCTAAATAATAAAATTCTTCACAGGATTTCAATTATTTAAAAAAAAATCTAATAAAATTCGTTGCAAAACTTCAATTATTTTCCTAAATAATAAAATTCTTCTCAGGATTTGAATTAATTAATTTAATTAATTTAAAAAATTTTATTAAAATTCTTCGAAAGAAAGAAATGAACAATTATCAATTATTTTAAATTTTTTATCTGAAATTCATTTTAAAAACAATTTTTATTAGAAAATTCTGAGAATTCAATTATTTAAATACCAAAATGAAAAAATTATTGAATAAATGAATTTTTCTCAAAATTGAATTCTCATAAAAAATTTTATCAACAAATTTTTAAATAATCGAAATTTTTCGACGAATTTTAATAAAATTTACCAGAAGAATTACATTTTTCGAGGAATTCGGTTAAAATTGTATTAAAAATAATTGAAATTCTATGATGAGTTTTCTTATTCATGAAAATAATTGAATCTTTGTAAAAAAATTTATTATTTATGAAAATCATTGAATCTTTGTAAAAAATGTTATTATTTATGAAAATAATTGAATTATTGTGAAAAAACTTATAAAAAATTTGTAAATAGTTGAATTCCTGTGAAATGTTTATTATTTATAAGAATAATTGAATTTTGAAGAAGAATTTTATTATTTTTAAAGATAATTGAAATTTTCAATAGAATTTAAAAAAATTTTTGAACAAAATTGAATTTTTGCAAACATTTGTAAATTGTAACTAATCTAAAATACAATTTTTTTTTAGTGTTTTTAACTAAAATTCTTCTATAAATCCATGATTTTTAATAATTAATTAAATATATATTAAAAAATAAAATAAAACTAATTATGAATCCTGCAAATTTAATTTTTTTCAGTACTTTAATAAAAATCCCTGACCAATTCTACTTTCCCTGAATTAATGGATTTATAGAAGAATTTTAGTTAAAAACAATAAAAAAAATTTAATTTTGAAGAAGTTACAAATTATTGCAGAAATTCAATTATTTTTAAAAATAATAAAATTCTTATCACAAAATTCAATTATGTTCAAAATTTACAAGAAAATCTCGACAAAATCCCAATTATTATTTTTATAAATAAAAAAAAATTCTTCAAAATTCAATTATTTTCAAAACTTTTAATAAAATTCTTGTCAAAATTTTAATTATTTTCAAAAATTTTCAATATCTACTATTTTAATAAAATGACCCAAAAGAATTCAATTATTTAAAAACAAGTTTAATAAAATTGTACGCAAACATTTAATTATTTTCATATATAAATAATAATAATTTTTAATACAATTTTAATCAAACTCCTTGAAAAATGTAACCCTTCTAAAAAATTTTATTAAGATTTGTCAAGAGAATACAGTTATTTAAAAATTAGTTAATAAAAATTTCTTTATAAGAATTAAATTTTAAGAAACATTCAATTATTCAATAAATTGAATTGTTTTTAATACAATTTTAATTAAATTCATCAAAAAAATTTGCAGGAATTCAATTATTTTCATAAATAATAATAATTCTTCATATAGAAATTCAATAATTTATAAATAACTATTTTTATATTTTTTATATTTTAATTTTTAATATTTTTATTCCTTTTTTTTAAATATGTTTTTTTGTTTTTTTACAGATATGTTTATAATCAAATACTGTCAGTATTGACACAGAAACAATTAACGAAAGTCTATGATCAAAGGAGAAATTTTGATTTGAGACGACTTTTGTCTGGTAGTGAGAGATTGATAGATCATTTATTAAATTTTATGGACAGAGAGCCGGCATTCTTTTTAGGAGCTGTTAAATGTTTACCAATATTACCATCAATACGAGATTTAATAACACAAACCATCATTCAAATTTGTGGAAAAATTAAAGTAAATTTTATTCAATTGTTTTCAATTAATTAATACCTATTGAATTAATTAGCACTGTATTAATTAATATCGAATTAATTTGCACTGTATTAATATTAAATTAATTAATACAGAATTTACTTCACCTGATGATTAATATTTTCTATAACATTCAATTTCAGGATTTAGTGTTTGCAATACTTTTAGCGAATAATCAATTGGTAACGTTGGTGAGAATGAAAAAATGTTTTATTCATCCAGCGGATTTGCATTTGATACAAAATTTAGTGAGTAGTTCGGAGTCATTTAAAACGGCCGAGAGTTGGACACCAATTTGTTTACCAAAATTTGATGCCAATGGCTTTATGCACGGTCATGTATCATATTTATCAGAAGACTGTCAGGCTTGTTTATTATTGCTCACCGTAGATAGAGATGTATTCTTTACTTTATCCGAGGCGAAAAAAGTATGTGAATTTTGTATAAAATGGGAAAAAAATTATTAAACCTGCTTTTTGCTATTTTTGTTCAATTAACTAATGCGAAGCCTATAGGCTTCGCTAATCTAATAATAAATCTATCTAATCTAATAATAAAAGTAATTCTTTTTTTCTAGAAAATAATGGAAAAATTACGAAGAACAAATTGTTTAGAAGCAATAAATGAATCAATGAATAAAATGTCAATAACAACTGCCGAAATCGGTTTACCTGAGATTCGTCACATTCTTTATAAATGCAGAACCACGGCGCAATTTTGGAGTCCTGGTTTTCAGCCCCCTTACAATTCCGATGAGGAAATCGAAAGGTAGACTTCAATTTGAGATATTAACACGGAATAATTAAAATTTTCAACTGGCAAATTTTTTTTGTTACTTAATTCTATTTGTCTTTTCTAGGCTACTTGGTTCGTATCAATGTTTACATCACAGATTGCACACTTCCAGTCGTCCCTTGAAGTTAATTTTTCAACAATTTGACAAAGAAACTATGCTGGCTTGGGTAAAAATATAAATTAATTAAAATATTTAAATTTAACCTGGGGCTCGAACCAGTCAAAATACATATCTAAAAATACAGACTTTACGGACCAAAAATTAAAAATTACGGACCATCTGCGGACAAAAATATGACCAGTCCGAGTCAAATAAGATAACATTTTACTTAAAACTATAAATTAAATTTTTTCTTACCTATAAAACATGATGATATCGATCACTCCGAGTCTTCGACTCGGAGCAATCGATTTCTTCATGTTTTAAAATAATTAAAGATGACCGAGTGATAAAATCATTATTTTATATTATAACAATATTGTAAAAGTAACTTCTTCAAAATTATTTTCATCATTTCAGTTCAATTATTATTTTCTACCATTTTTAACTAAAATTCTTTAAACCAATAAATTATTTTTAATAATTTCCGAAAAAGTTCTTTCAGAATTTTCAAATCCATTTGTTACAATTTAATTTTACGAAATTTCAATTATTCAAAAATTCTTGAATTAAATATATATTAGAAAATAAAAACTTCAAATAATTTAAAAACAAAATTCAATTATTATCTAAAATTTTAACTGAAATTCATTTTTAAATCAATTTTTAGTAGAAAAGTCTACTAGAATTCAATTACTTAAATTCAAAAATAAATAAATTATTGTATTAAAAATAATTGAAATTATTATTTCATCTATTTTTATTTTATTTTCAAGTATTAAAAACCTTCGTAGAAATTTTATTATTTACGAAAATAATTCAATATCTGCGAAGGATTTTAATATTCTTGAAAATAATAATTGAATTTCTGCAATCATTTGTAACTTCTACAAAATTCAAATTTTTTAAGTGTTTTTAACTAAAGTATTTCTATAAATCCATTATTTTGAATAATTTTTGATAAATTTTTTGACAATTTTCAAATACATTTGTTGACAATTTAAATTTACAAAATTTCAATTATTCGGAAATTCTTCAATTAAATATATAATATATTAGAATATAAAAACTTTAAATAATTTTAAAAAAATTAAATTAAACTTTTTCAAAAAAAACTGATTCTACAGAATTGTTAGTGAAAAGTATAAAAAATTCAGATTTTCAAAGATTTTAATTTGAAACTTCTTCAAAATTCAAATATTTCTAAAAATTCATGCAATAATGCTTTTAATATTTAATTATAATTTCAAATTTTAACTGAAAGGCAATTTTACATCAATTTTTATTAGAAAATTCTACGAGAATTCAATTATTTAAGAACAAAAAAAATAATTTATTGAATAATTTAATTAAAATTTTAAGAATAATTACATTTTTTGAGGAATTCGATAAAAATTGTACTAAAAATAATTGAAATTCTGCGATGAGTTTTATTATTTATAATAATAATTGAATTCAAAAAAAGAATTTCATTATTTATGAAAATAATTGAATCTCTGTAAAAAGTTTTATAATAATATGAAAATAATTTAATTATTGCGAAGAAATTTATAAAACATTTGTAAATAATTAAATTCGTGTGAAATTTGTATTATTTATAAAAATAATTGAATTCCTGCTAAGAATTTTATTATTTATGTAAGAAGATAATTAAATTCTTGGGAAGAATTTAAACAAAATTTTGTTAATAATTGAATTTTTCACAGAAGTTTATTAAAATTTTCAAAAATATCCTTGTGAAAAATTTCATTATTTATGAAAATAATTCGAATCACTGCGAAGAAATTTATAAAAAAATCTGTTAATAGTTGAATTCCTGTAAAATTTTTATTATTTTATGAAAATAATTAAATGTTTGCATAGAATTTTATCAACATTTTTATTTAAATAATTGAATTCTTTTGGAAAATTTTATTAAAATAGTAGATATTGAAAATCATTGAATTGAGGAAAATTTTTAAAAATAATTTGAAATTTTTACAAGAATTTTATTAAAATTTTTGAAAATAATTGAGCGGATGGGAAGAAGAACTCGATGTGACGCTCCGCTGCACGCTGTATTGTCAGTCAAGAGTTCCAAATGCCAATAAAATTAAAGTTTGAAATTTTGAATTTTAAAAAGTGCTACATTATAGAAAATAAAGAGGCTCATCTTTTTTTCCTTTGAATTTTTTTTATAGGACAATTAGTTTAAATAGTAAGTGCAAAAAACTAAAAAAAATTTATTTTTATTTTTCATTCAATTTTAAAACATAAATCATCGTAGTTAAGACAAATATTGATAAAATTAATCGGTATTTGATATACAAACTCGTTAGGGTCTATAGAAGACGATAACATATCAAAAAACTTAAAAATTATTAATTGTTTAATAATATTTAATTATTATTAATGATCTACCAGCAATCACATTTTCTTACCTTCGCCGACAAAAAGTCAGTGGGGAAGTTTCGAATTAAAAGAACTTCCAGTGAGACATTTGTTCTTCAATGTATAAAGATGTTTTCTAAAAAATTTCAAATTGATTTATTGAAAAGTTTAGAAAATATCGAAGTTTAAACAAATTGCGCGTGGCGCGCTAGCGAGTCGCCGTGTATAGAGAATTATATTCTGTGTATAAATGATCTGCTTCTCATAACTTTTACATATACATTTATTTACTATCGCAAATAAATTGTTTTCAATTATATTAAACTTTTATAATAATAAATAATAAAATTATTTAAACATTTTTTAAATGTAATATATAATATTGAAACCTTATATTAAATTATTATAATTAAACACATTTTAATATGTGAAAATAAAAATAAATAAAATATTTTTTAAATACTAATAAATGTTAATAAATAACTCAAACTAATGTTAAGGCATTTTAATAACATATTTAATGAAATACTAAATATACATTAATTAAATTTTTCCACTTTTCTTTTGACGCATCATAATATTTCCTTTTTCGTTCTAATGACATATTTTAACAATAACGTTAAAGGTAATATTTCACATTCTTAAAGCGTAAAAATTTTTAACAATAATTTGTAACGTAAATAACGAAATAATTACGAACTATCAATAATAATTTGTAGATAAGAAATTTAAATATTGAAAATGGAAAGTTTGAAAATATTTTCTTGTCCACATTATTATTATAGATATTTGAAAATTTTATACAAAAAAATATTTTTAAATAACAAATTAATAAGAAAAATATTTATTCATATAGGTAATATAAATAATATTTTATTCTATTCATTTAGTAAAAATTTATTAATTTAAACATTAAATCAATTTTAATTTATCAATATAAATAAATTGAAAACAATTTATTTGCGATAGTAAATAAATGTATATGTAAAAGTTATGAGAAGCAGATCATTTATACACAGAATATAATTCTCTATACACGGCGACTCGCTAGCGCACCACGCGCAATTTGTTTAAACTTCGATATTTTCTAAACTTTTCAATAAATCAATTTGAAATTTTTCAGAAAACATCTTTATACATTGAAGAACAAATGTCTCACTGGAAGTTCTTTTAATTCGAAACTTCCCCACTGACTTTTTGTCGGCGAAGGTAAGAAAATGTGATTGCTGGTAGATCATTAATAATAATTAAATATTATTAAACAATTAATAATTTTTAAGTTTTTTGATATGTTATCGTCTTCTATAGACCCTAACGAGTTTGTATATCAAATACCGATTAATTTTATCAATATTTGTCTTAACTACGATGATTTATGTTTTAAAATTGAATGAAAAATAAAAATAAAATTTTTTTAGCTTTTTGCACTTACTATTTAAACTAATTGTCCTATAAAAAAAATTCAAAGGAAAAAAAGATGCGCCTCTTTATTTTCTATAATGTAGCACTTTTTAAAATTTAAAATTTCAAACTTTAATTTTATCGGCATTTGGAACTCTTGACTGACAATACAGCGTGCAGCGGAGCGTCACATCGAGTTCTTCTTCCCATCCGCTCAATTGAATTTCGGAGACGATTTTTATTATTTATACACATAATTGAAATTTTGAAGAGAAAATTTCTAATTTCTCTAAAATTCTCCAAATGATATTATAGGGGAGAGGGCCCCAAGGTGGTCAGGGCCCTAAGGTGGTCACCCTAAGAAAATTTTTGTATATTAGTTAGTATCTTCAAATGTTTTTTGTTATTGTTATTATTTGAAAAGACAAAGATTTTAGTAAAGTTTTGAGGTAAATAGTCGTATGAGTCTCTTTGTAACGTGAACGTCGTAAAATTTCTGTTTTTAAATGATCGAGAAATTTTTTTCTCAGGGTGTTAAAATCATCGAAATTAACCATTTTAAATTAGTAAAAATCGTTATAATTATCTTTATATATCGTACAATAATATTCCAAATGAATATAATTAATATTGTGCTTTAAAAAATTTTTTCATTAACGTTTAAAAAATTGTGTCTTGGCCCTAAGGTGGACACTTTTTTGGCCACAAGGTGGTCACTTTTGATTTTTTATGAAAATGTGTTTATACGCCATATTTATCAACATTTATCACTGTGAATGTGAATATTATCAATTTTCAAGTTTTATGATGAATAATAATGAAATAGAATTATTTTCAAAATTTTACCTGTCTAATACATACACAAAAAGTATCATTTTTGACGAAAGGACAAAGTGCAAAAAAAAATATGTAATATGTTTCTGTGATCCTGAAAAACAATTAATATTAAATAAACAACTTAGTAATACGTTTTTTACATTTTTTAAAAACTTTTTTAGTGAATTTTTGTATGGTGACCACCTTGGGGCCACTTTTTTAAAAGTCGAATTTTCAACTTTTTTTAAAAAGTGCCATAACTTTTTTTTTATTAATGAAATGAAAAAAACTTTATGATAGGAAGTTAGGTAATAAGATAAAGTTTCAAACGCCGTATTATTGAGCTTTATATATAATTCCATTTAAAATCTACAGTCGTTCAAAAGATGGGTGACCACCTTAGGGCCCTCTCCCCTACAATTTACAAACTTTTCGTCCTTTTTCAATCAAATTGCGGACCTTTTTTTCAAAAAAACTGACTTTTACGGAGGTGAAACAAATTTACGGACCTAATTCGAGCCCTGTTTAACCTTGAATTTTTTTTAAATGTACAAATAAATTTCTAAATATTATAAATTTTTAAAGGTTACATCCGGTTTTGAACTTTACGCTACGTTTGGACCTCTAGTTACAAAACCCGATGCCATCAATGCAATTAGTAAAATGTTAAAATGGATAAAAAAAGAAGAGGATCGATTATTCATTCTAAATCCACCGACATTTTAAAAAAACAAAAAAATTAGGTAAGATATTGTTATGTATTTATTGTACATTATTTGTGACAAAAAAATATTTTTCACTTAATATATTGAATAAATATTAAAAACTATATGACTTATTTATGACCTACGATTTTTTTAGTTTCTTAAAATTTATTCTACTGACCTTGAATGTGACTCGCATTTAAAAGAAGAAAAAATTTATTTTTACACGATGATAAGATTTCATGGAATAGTTATATATTTGAGTTGAATTACTTTTAACATTTTTCCGTGTTCATATACAATTGTGTTTTAAAAACACTTTCACTTTTCGTTTAACCTTGAAATACGTAAACATCACTCACACTCTTTTCAATTTTTGTATAAAACAAATATACAAACAATGAAAAACCGTTTGTCTTCATTTATTCTCAAAAAATTGAATATCGTCCAAACATACTAATTTTTAAATAATCTTTTGGCACATATAATATAGTGAGAAATACAAATTATTTTCATCCAAAAGTTCGCTTTTCTTTGTAAAATCTACATGAAAAAATTGCGTATTGTAAAATTTTTTGATATATTATCGTTTTTGAGCAGCATCCGCATCTAGGGCTGAAAAAAATATTGATAATTTTTATTATTAATGTAGGAAATTTATTGAAAGAAATGTAAAAAATCGAAAAAACTTACTTTTTCCATCACATGCAACTATTTTAACTTTATCGACTATGGCCACTTCTTGAACTTCTCGAAATTCAACATCATTTAGCATAAAAGTCCAAACATTGTCACAAAATCTGTATGTGTTTAATTTGCCAGCCTGTAAACAATTTTTTTTTTTTGAAGAAACGATAAAAGAATTTAATTTAATTAAAATAAAATAAAATAGAATACCTTAAATGTGAGTCTTGATTTAACTCGAGTTGCAAGCGCCTGATTGATAGCTTTGTCGAATTGCAATAATACTTTAATCGCAAGTTGTGGTGTAATCTGTCCATACTGAGAAATACAATTTAAAAAATAAGTTTTATTAAAAGTCACGTAATTTTATATAAGAAAAAAATTCAAGAAGAAGAGAAATTTTTCTGACAAGACAATTTTACCTGAATTAATTCATCTAGACTTTCTTGCAGAGTATTTCCTAGCGTAGTATTTCTATATAATTGATAAGACATGTTGAATTAAACTTATTACAACTAATTATTCACTTTTTAGAGGTATTTCAATGACAAACGCACTAATTGTTGACAATTTACACTTGCAGTAAGGTTAGGAATAACAGCATAAAGTGCAATACATAAATATTACGTGGCAGGACTTTTAAACTTGAGTGCAATTCACAGTGACGAAAGATGTGTTGTTCTGCTTTCTGATTGGTCGATAGCAGCCCACCTAGAGTGAACTTACTGAACTGAGCCATTTAAACTGACAATAATACCGGTTTGTTTATCCTATGATGATCGTTTGTTTACAAGGTTTACAGTAGCAGTAGAATGTTCTAAATGTTTTAAAAGGTCCCGGATGACTGTAAATAATATTAATATCTAGGGGAGTAAATTAACACTCTAAACTTTATTATTAGAATAATTTGTGAAATTTAAAAATAACGATGAAGTTGATGTGTACAGTAGAAGTGAATAATAGGTTATGTGAAGGAAACATTAAAAGAAAGCCGAAAAAATCTTGTCTTTCAATAGGAAAACTCAAATCTACCGAAAATGATTTGTACCTGTTGCTGCAAACTATGGAAAATAAACAGGGTATTAAGTACAAGGTAAAAACTTTCCAAGCCTCACATTGTTTTTCCAAATTCACTTGTCAATTGAATTCAAATTCACTTGTTGCTTGACTTTAAATTCACTTGTTCATTGAATTTGAATTCAATTTCTAAATAAATTAATAAAAATTATTCACCATGCACGTTACTTTCAGTTAAGTGACAACATTGAAATCGTATTCACAAAATGTATAAACGAAGGAAAAATGACAATACGCTTGAAACAGCCGCCTCACGATATTTTAATAAAATCGGATGCGATTCAACTAAAAAGTTTTGCTCACGTTTTAAAATTAGGACATTCGAATAAATTGGATGCGTCCGTATTATCAATGACTGAATTAAAGGCAAAGAATCTTCAAGATGCATTAAAAACGAAAATGGTAGTTAAAAGTGCCGCTGGTTATCCTGTATTAGAAGGTTTTCCAAGAAAAGTTATGGAACTACATCTCGCTGGTTTAGAGAGAAAATCCTTTGACAGGAATATTTTGAAATTACAAAACTTGAGAATTTTGAATTTGTCAAATAATTGTATAAACAGTCTTCCAAAGGACTTGGGAAATTTGCCAAATCTACAAGAATTGAATGTGTCACAAAATCAATTACACAAATGTCCAAAAACAAAGTGGACATGGATGGATCAATTGAAATTGGGGAGAAATTTAAAATTATTGGATCTCAGTTCTAATGAGGTAAATTAATTATTATTAAATATATATATTTAATTCTAAAATTTATATCAACTAAAATTTTTGAACCTTTTTTTTGATACAAAGTTTGAACAAATTCACAAAATTCTTCGCAAGAATTCAATAATTATTTTCATAAATAACAAAAATCTTTGCCGAAATTCAATTATCTTCAAAAAATTTTAATAACATTCTTGGAAAGAATTCAATTATTTCCATAAATAACAAAATTCTTCGCAGGAATTCAATTATCTTAAAATATTTTAATTACATTCTTGGCAAGAATTCAATTATCTTCCTAAATAATCGATATTCTTCTCAGAAATTCAATAGTTTTTAAATTTTTTTTATAAAATTCTTAGGAAGAATTCAATTATTTTCGTAAGTGACGAAAATTAAAAAAAAAAAACAATTTTAGTAAAATATCTCGACAAGATTCAATTATTTTAAATCAATTATTCAATTATTTTAAATCAAATTTTTATTAAAATTTATCGACAAGATTTCATTGTTTTAAAAAATTTTTTAATGAAATTCTTTGTCACAATTCAATTATTTACAAAAATTTTAATAACATTTTTAAAAAAAATTATGAGAATACGATTTTAATTAAATTCCTTGGAAGAATTTCATTACTTTCAAGAAATTTAATTTATAATTCTTTGTCGAAAATCAATTATTTTCAAAAATTTTAATTGAATTCTTGGCATGAATTGACTTATCTTTATAAATAATAATAATATTTTTTCATGTTCATTTATTTTTAAAAATTTTAATTAAATTCCTTATGCAAGAATTCAATTATTTTTATAAATAAAATAAAATTTATTCTTCTCAGGAATTCAATTATTTTAAAAACTTTTTATAAAATAGAAAGAATTCGAGTAATTAAAAAAATGTTAATCAAATATCTCGCAAGAATTCAATTATTTTTATAAATAGATAATATTTTTCGCAGAATTTCAATTATTTTTGAAAATTTTTTATAATTCTTTTCAAAAATTTAATTATTTTCTTCAATTATACAATTCTTTGCAGGAATTCAATTATTTTCAAAAAGTTTAATCAAACTTCTCAGAAGAATTAAATTATTTTTATAAATAATATTTTTCACAGAATTTCAATTTAAAAAAAAAAAATTCTTCTCAATTATTTTTAATACAATTCGATTAGAATTTCTTGAAAAAATTCACATATTTTTGGATATTTTAATAAATTTCTTTGAAGAATTCAATTATTTCCATAAGTTTTTTAATAAAATTCAATAATCAAAATTTTAATTAATATTAATAAAATTATTCATTACTATCATTAACATAATCTAATGTTAGTGATCTAATGCATTAGCATTAGAAGAAATGTTATTAATATTATTAAAAAAAAACTCCATTATTATTACAAAATTCAGAAAAATTTTCAACTTTCAATTATTTTTAGAAATTTAAGTAAATTTTTTTTCAAGAATTCGACTATTTTCATAAATAAACAATATTCTTCGCTAGAATTCAACTATCTTCAAAAATTTTAATACAATTCTTTGAAGATATTTAATTAATTTAGCCTCTTTTAATTTTATATTTATTCTTTACAAAAAAAATTTATTTTGTATAATATTAAAAAAAAAATCCTTAACTAAATAAATGTTTAATTTAAATTATTTTGTTTTGTATAGCAATATTCAAAATCACTTAAGCAAAAATAGATTATTATAAATATTAATTATTGTTAAAATTTTACATAAAAGTGTTGTTTTATTGCAGTTGACAGAAGTACCGGACCCGATCATTAAATTGAGATCATTAGTGACTTTAAGACTGAGTACAAATTTACTGCAATCGTTACCTCAAAGTTTAGGATGTCTAGATGCATTGAAGTACTTGGATGTTTCGAAAAATAATCTCTCTAAGCTTCCCGGAAGTATACGCAATTTAAGACTAACGACATTGAATATAGCAAACAATAATTTTCTTATGTCAGAAAATATAATTTCAGTTCGATTCAAACTGCCCAATCTTGTTGAAATTGCTGCTAAAGTTGTATATCAAGCAAGGTATTTTTCATAGAATGTCAATTATTTGTAAAAATATTTATTTATTTATTTTTATGATTAACGGGCTCAAGACCCATTAGTATAATGTCCTACTTAAATAAATATTTAAAAATTCTTCCCAAAAATTCAATTATTTTCTCAAATAATAAAATTCTTTGAAGGAATTCAATTACATTCAAAAATTTTAATCAAACTCCTCGTAAGAATTCAAATATTTTAATAAATAATATGATTTACAGAATTTCTATTATTTTTGAAAATTTTTTATAATTCTTTTCAAGAATTTAATTATTTTGTTTATTTATTCAATAAATAAATTTTCTTAAATTATAAAATTTTTCACAAGAATTCTAGTACTTTCAAAAACTGTAGTAATCAAATTCCTCGCAAGAATTCAATTATTTTTATAAATAATAATATTTTTCACAGAATTTCAATTATTTTTAAAAATATTTAAAAATTCTTCCCAAGAATTCAATTATTTTCTTAAATTATAATATTCTTCGTAGGAATTTAATTATTTTCAAAAATTTTAATCAAATTTCTCGCAAGAATTCAATTATTTTCTTAATTTATAAAATTCTTCGCAGAAATTAAATTGTAGAATGTAATTTCGTTGGATCGCTCGCGATCCAAATTATATTGTTATAATGTGAAAGTTAACGTTCGAAATAATAAGTTATAATAATAATTATTTAATATATTTAAAATATTAATTTTTAAAAATAATTTTTACAGGATTCATTTCAATGCGAGCATTATACCTGCAACTTTGGTCAAGTATATAAATAATACACAATTCTGTGTTTGCGGAAATCCTTGCTTCAGTAGCTACATTCGAAGTACCGTTGATCTCACTTTAGATCGATTTGCTGCATCTGTCATTGCTTCTGGATATTCGTATGTACCGTTTGATTGTTACTTTTGTTCGACACCGTGTCACAGGCGATACTCTGGATAAATGATGTTATTTTATTTTTTAATTATTGTCAAGAGTGAGAGAACATGCGCACTGAAAGTGAATACAATTTGATACTATTTGAATTTTACCGCTAGAATAGAAATTTGTCGTCTGCTGTGCCGAATCAGCTGATTGCAGAAGAAAAAAATCTTCACGTGTACAGTGTTTATTTATTTTTACGATAGGATTTTACAGAAAACACTGAAAAGAATATCTATAACGTTTTTTAATTTCATAAATAAAGCAGTGAGCTTTCTTACAAAAAAAGAAAATGCCTTATTCTTTTTATAAAAATATGTTTATTTTCGTCTAAGAAGAAATAACGTATAACCTAAAAGCATTGCGGCAATTTGCGCAAAAATGTTATTTCGGCGTTTTGATTTGGTGAATAAGAGTATAGTATTAAGATTTTATAATACTAATGAAAAGTTTAAATCTGCGAACAGTATTAGAAAAGAATTTCTCGATTATTTTCTAAAAGATCATGCGTTTATTCGATCGAGTTCTATTTTGAATTTAAATGATCCTTCGACACCTTTTGTAAATGCGGGAATGAATCAAGTGAGTATTTAATTTAAAGAAAAATATTTCCACTATTTATTTCCAGCCAAATCGAATTTATTTTAATTAATAATTCTATTTTGCTTCATGATTTTTGTTTTCAAGTTTAAGGGCGTATTATTGGGACTCTACGATCCTCCATTTCCAAGGGTTGCTAATTCGCAAAAATGCATTAGAGTTGGTGGAAAACATAATGATTTGGAAGAAGTTGGATTGGACACGTATCATCATACATTTTTTGAAATGCTCGGAAATTGGTCCTTTGGTGATTATTCGAAAGTAAAATTGAGATTTTTTACACTTATTTTTAAAAAATGCGACTTTCTCGACTTCTCTTCCAAATATTGCAACAAAATACCACATTTTTTAGGATAATATAATCCAAATTATTTCGTTTTTATAGTGCAAAAAATAACTATAAACAAATCTTTCAAAAATTATTTTTGAATCATTTTTCTATATAAATTTTCCAAATATATGTACTATTAAAAAGATTTTGAATATAATTGAAATTTTCTAAAATTTAATAGAAAATAATTAATTTTTTTAAAGTAAAATAGAAAAATAGAATAGAATTTTTAGATAGAATTTTTGAAAATCAACTTCTGAAGAATTTTAATTGTAAATTTTCAAAATAATTGAATTATCAAAAATCTTAATAAAAAATTTTTAAACATAAATTTAAAAATGAAAATTATTGAAAATTAGCTTCTTATTTTTTTAAATTTAGTATTTTCAGTACTTTCAATTACATATTATTTCAAAAATTCAAATACATACCAAAATTAATAACATCTTAGAATTACAATTTTTAACGTTTTGGAGAAAAAAATCATGTTTAAAATATTTAATTAAAATTCATTAAGAACTTAGGTAATTCGTTATTTTTAAATATTACAGAAACTCTTTTAAGAAATTCAATTGTTTTCAAAAAAAAATCTGTCCGCGCAAGCGCGGACACATTCTCATCCGCGCTTCGCGCGGGGGCTCGCTTCGCTCGCAAGTTTCAGCGCGCCTCGGGGCGCGCGAATATTGATCGTCGCGCTTCGCGCTCCGGCGATTATTTCGCACGTCGCGCTTCGCGCTCCGTGTGTTGTTGCGCGCTTCGCGCGCAAGTGGCTCGCTTCGCTCGCAGGGGTCTGCAATTGTTGTGCATTATTTGTTTTCTTGTTTCCTATTATATGTTTTATAAAACATTTTTTTTTCTTAAAGTTACTACGACTTTAAGGATTACATTCTCATCACATGTTTTAGTTTGCTGATGATTGCGATATTATGTGAATTTAAATGTATATTTTTGGTCTTGATGATTAAAATTGTGAAGTTTTTTTTAATTATACTAATTCTCTTAGTAAAAACATGATTTGCAGAAGCAGCTAAAATATTTTTAAAGAATTAGTATCAAATTTTTTGTGTAGTGTAGACCGGAGCGTAATGGCTAACTTTTCACTCTTTGTTTATTTACTCAGACATTTTTGTTTTAATTAAGTGTTTATTTCCTAGAAAAGTTACTCTGGTATCTTAGCTTTCTTTCAAAAAAACGAACGTTCCTATATTACTCTTCATTTTTTTCTACAATGTTGTCAGTATCGTAGGTAACAAAAACAAAGTTTTTGTCTACGGACAGACAGATAGACAGACAGACAGACAGACAGACAGACGTAATCGCCGGACCTTGTTCAGGGTGGCCGCAAAATTTTATTTTCAAAATTCCCTGATTTTTCCCTAACTAATTTTTTACTTTTCCTGACTAACAAATTTTTAAATTATTTAATATTCTACATTGAAATGTCCGTAAGAAGGTTCAATCTTATAAAAAATGTAACGGGACCATTATAATGAGCTATATTACAAAAACGTCGAAATTAAAAACTGAATTGATATTTTAAGTACCAAAGTTTTTTAATTTGTAGTTTTTTTCGATCAAAATTCTCTGACTATTAAAGAATTTTTAAAATTTCCCTGATTTTTCCTTGACTAACAAAATTCCCTGACTTTTCCCTAATGTTTTTTGGATTCAAAGCACATCAAAACGCAAAGATTTCACAAAATTAGCAAAAGTAAATTTTCCACTAAATCTTATACTTTCTCATGTGATGAGAATGTAAAAGACCATTTCCAACAAGACAGGATCAAAAAATAAAATGTAAAAAGGGGTCACACCAGCACAACTGTATTAAAAAAATTTCATTAATTTTCTAAAATGTTATATCTTTTATGAATATATTTTAGTTATAACATTTTAGAAAACCAATAAAATTTTTTTAACCCAGTTGACCTGGCCTGACCCAAAAACTTAAAAAAAAAATTTTCTATGAAAAAATGTTGTAGAGAAAACTACAAACTACAAACTAATACTTTCTCATGTGATAATAATGTAAAAATGATTAAAAACAAAAAATATATTCAAATAGTGCAATTCAAAATAAAAAAATCATATTTCGAATTTTATATCGGTCAACCAGAACTCAAGAAAAAATTTGTTTAATTTAGAAATACTAAAAAATTAAATTTTTAATAACTTTAAAAAAAAATTTTCTGAGTAATATGTAAAGCAATACTTCTAAACAATGTTGAGAGACAAAAAAAATTATTTTAATATGAAAATAAAATTTTTTAGTTCTAGATAAACCGTTTGGCTAAATCTGGCCCAAAAACTTAAAAAATATACCTGGCCCAACAACTTAAAAAAAAAAAAAAAAAAAAATTCATAACTTTTTTGTTTTTTGTTGTACAAAAAAGTGTTCAAAGGAAAAGTTGTTTGTTTTTGTACAAAATTTAAGGAAAAAAATTAAAAAAATTTTTTTTTTTAAAAAATGTCAAAAATCCAAAATTTTGAAAATTTCAAAATTTTAAAAAAATTCATAACTTTTTTGTTTTTTGTTGTACAAAAAAGTGTTTAAAGGAAAAGTTGTTTGTTTTTGTACAAAATTTAAGGAAAAAATTAGAAAAAAATATTTTTTTGAAAATTGGAAAAAATACAAAATTTTGAAAATTTAAAAGTTTTGTATTTTTGTGGTTTTTTGACGAAATGAGCTGTCCAACGAACTCAGGCTTTATTTTAATGGACTAAAAAAGCACCCCAAATTGCAAGACGATTCGTTAAAATTTATTCGAGTTATCGTCGAGACAAAATTTTCTACAGACAGACAGACAGACAGACAGACAGACAGACAGACAGACACTTCTCTAAAAACCATTTTTTTGGAATCAGGGGGTCATGAAACGTAAAGATTTATCAAAATTAGAAATTTCTCAAAATCGCACAAATCCAATACTTTCTCATTTTTGATGAGAATGTAAAAAACAAATATTACGAAAAAATTCAAAAACAGCAAAATTTTCGGATATTTTGAGTTCTTTTTTGTTCCTAATTTTGTATATTTACCTAAATTTGGCATCTAAAAGAAAAAAGTGAAAGTTTTGACATGTTTTTAATGTTTTTTAATGTTTCGGCTAATGCTTCACTCACTATAAATCTCAATTTTTTGCACTTTTTTGGAAAAAAAAATTCATAACTTTTTTGTTTTTTGTTGTACAAAAAAGTGTTCAAAGGAAAAGTTGTTTGTTTTTGTACAAAATTTAAGGAAAAAAATTAAAAAAATTTTTTTTTTAAAAAATTGTCAAAAATCCAAAATTTTGAAAATTTCAAAATTTTAAAAAAATTCATAACTTTTTTGTTTTTTGTTGTACAAAAAAGTGTTTAAAGGAAAAGTTGTTTGTTTTTGTACAAAATTTAAGGAAAAAATTAGAAAAAAATATTTTTTTGAAAATTGGAAAAAATACAAAATTTTGAAAATTTAAAAGTTTTGTATTTTTGTGGTTTTTTGACGAAATGAGCTGTCCAACGAACTCAGGCTTTATTTTAATGGACTAAAAAAGCACCCCAAATTGCAAGACGATTCGTTAAAATTTATTCGAGTTATCGTCGAGACAAAATTTTCTACAGACAGACAGACAGACAGACAGACAGACAGACAGACAGACACTTCTCTAAAAACCATTTTTTTGGAATCAGGGGGTCATGAAACGTAAAGATTTATCAAAATTAGAAATTTCTCAAAATCGCACAAATCCAATACTTTCTCATTTTTGATGAGAATGTAAAAAACAAATATTACGAAAAAATTCAAAAACAGCAAAATTTTCGGATATTTTGAGTTCTTTTTTGTTCCTAATTTTGTATATTTACCTAAATTTGGCATCTAAAAGAAAAAAGTGAAAGTTTTGACATGTTTTTAATGTTTTTTAATGTTTCGGCTAATGCTTCACTCACTATAAATCTCAATTTTTTGCACTTTTTTGGAAAAAAAAATTCATAACTTTTTTGTTTTTTGTTGTACAAAAAAGTGTTCAAAGGAAAAGTTGTTTGTTTTTGTACAAAATTTAAGGAAAAAAATTAAAAAAATTTTTTTTTTAAAAAATGTCAAAAATCCAAAATTTTGAAAATTTCAAAATTTTAAAAAAATTCATAACTTTTTTGTTTTTTGTTGTACAAAAAAGTGTTTAAAGGAAAAGTTGTTTGTTTTTGTACAAAATTTAAGGAAAAAATTAGAAAAAAATATTTTTTTGAAAATTGGAAAAAATACAAAATTTTGAAAATTTAAAAGTTTTGTATTTTTGTGGTTTTTTGACGAAATGAGCTGTCCAACGAACTCAGGCTTTATTTTAATGGACTAAAAAAGCACCCCAAATTGCAAGACGATTCGTTAAAATTTATTCGAGTTATCGTCGAGACAAAATTTTCTACAGACAGACAGACAGACAGACAGACAGACACTTCTCTAAAAACCATTTTTTTGGAATCAGGGGGTCATGAAACGTAAAGATTTATCAAAATTAGAAATTTCTCAAAATCGCACAAATCCAATACTTTCTCATTTTTGATGAGAATGTAAAAAACAAATATTACGAAAAAATTCAAAAACAGCAAAATTTTCGGATATTTTGAGTTCTTTTTTGTTCCTAATTTTGTATATTTACCTAAATTTGGCATCTAAAAGAAAAAAGTGAAAGTTTTGACATGTTTTTAATGTTTTTTAATGTTTCGGCTAATGCTTCACTCACTATAAATCTCAATTTTTTGCACTTTTTTGGAAAAAAAAATTCATAACTTTTTTGTTTTTTGTTGTACAAAAAAGTGTTCAAAGGAAAAGTTGTTTGTTTTTGTACAAAATTTAAGGAAAAAAATTAAAAAAATTTTTTTTTTAAAAATGTCAAAAATCCAAAATTTTGAAAATTTCAAAATTTTAAAAAAATTCATAACTTTTTTGTTTTTTGTTGTACAAAAAAGTGTTTAAAGGAAAAGTTGTTTGTTTTTGTACAAAATTTAAGGAAAAAATTAGAAAAAAATATTTTTTTGAAAATTGGAAAAAATACAAAATTTTG